TGATAGGAATTTAAAAGGGTATTTACTTCCTGTTCAGGAGGAATTTTTGGTCTTTGGATGAAATGGTGGCAGATTTATTGATTTATCAAATATTTATGAAATACCTTCTGGGATGTGTTCTAGGCACTAAACATGCAAATATGAAATACGTATTATTCACAAAATTTATCATTGTGCCCAAACATGTCTATATACTACATGGCTTACAGTGAAATTTAGGAGAAAAGACCTACTGTGTGAATGGATGGGAATGATACATAACTAGTCTTTTCAGTGCTTAATTTACTGCATAGGTCAAGGGTGTCTCTCCCCCCTGGTCTTTCAGAAGCAGTTTTCAGAAGGTAAGGATAGATAAAAAATATATAACATTTGTTGGATCTGGGTACTCAGTGTTTATTGTGGGTTTTCTTTTTCCTGTATGTTTGAAATGAAAAGTTGAAAAAATACAGAATGCAAAGTGATGAGACTTTAGGCATAGGTGCAAAGTAACTAGAATAATGAAGGAGGGGTTATTTTCAGCTGAAGGAACCGGTGAGTTGTTTTTAGGAATTCAAAATAGGAAGAGAGTAAGTGTAGAAGGTATTTTATGTAGAAGGATCTTGAAAAAAAATCCATGGAATCAGATACAAATTAAAATGGACCATTGTGGGTTCATGGAGAAGAAGGGAAACTAGTCTGCCTAGAATTGAGGTGTTTAGGGATCTTTAAGGTTTAAATTTCTTAAGAGAAAACATTAAAAATAATGTTTATGTTAGGCCAGTGTTACATCTGATACACTCTGGCAAGTGGAGATACAAATACTTTGTTTTCATCTTCTGTGAAACCAGTAGTTTTTTTTTCCTTCCACCTTTAGCAAGTAGATGGTTAGGGACATATCCATAAAATATCCTTCTACGTAAATGTGATGGGAGGAGAGGTGAGGAAAGAGAATTTAAAATTGCATGTCCTTAATTATTTCAAACAGCATGTATAGTGGTTAAGAAACAAGCTTGTGAGGACAAGATACCTGAGTTCAACTGTTGGCTTTACCAACTAGAGCTCTGTGAGCTTGGGTAAGCCACTTGCCCACTCAGTGCCACAGTTGGATGAATTGAGATTCACTCATTCATTACATATGTATTGAATGCTTCTTATATGTCAGGCATTGTTCTAGGAACCCACTGAACAACTTTGACTACTGCAGACAAAAATTGCTACTTTTACAGAACTTTTATTCTAGCAGGAAGAAGACAAAGTATATAGTACATAAAGAAGAACTAATGGTTAGGGAAAGAAAAGTAGAGGATGTGGACGGGGTGCCTGATTTAGCAAACATAAATATAGAAACCAAAGTTGAGTTTGAGTTTTAGATAATTTATGTTGTGTATATTGCATGGGACATAGTTATGTTAAAAACTGGTCATCCTGTGTTTAATCTTGCAGCTCCAGATGGGGGGAATGTGCCGGTGGTGATAGAATTTCCAGTGGGAGGGCTTACGTGGTAGCCTCTCCGAGAAGGACTTGAAATGAAGCAAATGAGCCAGCTGTTATGCAGGTATCAGAGGGGAGGAGTTCCAGGTACGGAGGTGTGCCAGGAGTATTTGAAGGGTGGCAGGAAGTCCATGTGGCTAGAATCCAGTGAGTCAGAAATGAAGACAGAGGTAACGAGGATAGTGTCTTGTAGATGATTTTAAGACCATTTTGTCTTTTACTCTCAGGGAAAGGGGAAGCTGCAGGAGAGTTTGGAGCAGAATAGTGTGATGGGACATTTAAAAAGGATCACTTTGGCTTCTGGTTAGGAAACTCTTGCACTATTTCAAGTGAAAGATGGTGGGGACTTGGGTAGGGCAACAGCAGTAGAGGTGGTGTGAAGTGAATGGATTCTGATTATATGTAGAGCCCACAGGATATTCTGATTTATTGGATGTGAAGGAAGAGGGAAGTCTGGAGCATCATACTGAGTTGATAGAGGCTGTTGTAGAAACAAAGGGTTTGGTGGGGTAGGAGGCAGGGAGGATGGGGAAGTGAGGAAAGACAATTAGGAGTTTGGTCTGGGGCCTGTTAACTTTAAGATGTTTAGTGCACATTTGTTCTGGTTTGGTAATAAGCAACTCCAAATTTAATGGCAAAAAACAACCATTTTTTTTTATTCTCAGGGATTCTGTGGGTCAGCACTTTGGGCAGGGCATAGCTGGATGGCTTCTCTATTTTATTATGTTTGGGGCCTCAGCTGGGAAATCATCTGATCTTGCACCTGAACTGAATTCCTTGAAGGCTGGCCCAGCTGGGGGCTGTCAGTGAAAGCACCTACTATGGCCTCTTCATGTGGCTTAGGCTCATCACACATGGGCACTGGGTCTCTAATGGGAGCTCTCAGAGAATGAGTATACCAAAAGATTGTGGAAAATGCATGATTTTTTTTTTATCCTCATCCAAGGACATCCTTATTGACTTTAGAGAGAGGAGAAGGGAGGGAGAGAAACATCAGTTGGTTGCCTATTTTATGTGCCCCAACCAGGACCAAACCTGCAACCTACATATGTTCCTTGAGTGGGAATTGAAACCACAAGCTTTTGGTTTATGGGATGACACTCCAACCAACTGAGACAACCTTCCAGGGCACATGATTTTTTTTTCTTGATAGGCTTCTGAGTCATATAGTGTCCCTCCTGCCACATTCTGTTGATTACAAGTGAGTCATAAAGCCAGGTCTGATCCTGGGGGAAAGGAGTTGAACGGGGAAATGGCAAGTGCACATTGCCAAACGTCATGTGGGATTCAGGAGCCATTGTTGCAGATCTTCAGGAAAACAGCCTGCCACGGCATCCAGAAGAGATGTCAACTTAGCACTTGCATACACATGACTTTGGAGTTTAGAGCTGAGATGTAGTTCATACGTGCAATTTATATAAGTCATGGTCATACTGGTGGAGGTGATGAAAGGAGTTAATGTAGACCGAGAAAAGGTCCATGGGCAGAGCTCTGGGGTAACTGGAGCAATATTCAAAGGTCAGAGAAGAGAAAACCAGTAAGAGAAACATCAGTGACCAGTGAGTTAGGGCAAAAAAGAAAAAAAAAACCCAACCAATGTGATGTCTTGGAATCTAAGTAAAAACGTGTCAGGTTGTTGATGGGTCAAGAAAGACTGTGGCTGAAAATGGGCCATTAGGTTGAGCAATCTGGAGGCCACCAATAACCTGGTGGAACAGCTTCAGTGAGTGTGACAGCAAACACTGGTCTCAGGGAGATTTAAAGTGCCTCGGGGGTGAGGAATAGAAACAAGGAGTATAACCAATTCTTTCAAGGAGTACCGCTGTGAAGAGGAATAGAGAAATGAGGTGGCTGCCAGAAGGGAAAGCATAAATGTACGGTTTTTGTTCTGAAGAGAAGAGATGATTCAGTGGGAAAGGGAAACACTGGTGGGGGTAAGGGAGTGGTGAATTGCCGGAGCAGTGCCCATGTGTAGATGAGAGCGAGTAAGGGGTCGGGTGCCCCAGCAGGCGTTTTGAGTTGGCCGTCCAGAGGGAAGGCAGAGTAGAGTGTGAGCACAGATGCTGTAGGAGGGTAGATATGATGGTGGGATTTTGAAGTTCTCCTTTGATTAATCCAATTTTCCCATTGACATGAAGGCTTTGCTAATCCAAGGGGGGACCCCAAAACTGGGTGGCTTCGAAAATTAAGTGAGTTTTTCCTTCTAAAGCACTTAAAATAGTTGCTGGCACATAAAGTTAATATTTTTTAGCCTGAGATTAAGCTCCTACTCCTTTTAAAATGGGATTCTAAAGATAATCTTTTATTGAAGAATAGCATACACAAATTTGCAAATAAGCATATAGCTCAATGGATTATCACAAAGTAAACACACTCAGCTCAAGAAATAGAATGTTAGTGGCATCCACTTGGTTTTTGGGTTTTTTTTTTTTTCTTTCTTAAATGTCTTCAGCTCAAAAAAATAGAAAGCTTGTCATCCTTGTGTTGGAACCCAAGATATTTTTGAAAAATTCCCTGGCCTGTGAAATCCCCAAATCTGGTAATATATTTAACACCAAGGACTCTAATAAACCTTAACGGGCCATCCTTCTGCTGGAGGAAATTTTAAAAAATCAATTCCCAAATGAACTGTTAAGTTCCCAGAGTCATGAGAAAATTTCTAAACTATGACATGAGACCCGTTCCTCAAGCATTCTTCAGGTCATTTCCCTAGATGAGTGACTTTACTCTTATGTTATGAAAGCCACTGATATTTCTCAAGACTTAGATTTTTGAAGATAAAATGCCTCTTGCCCCCTTTAGTTAACCACATATTTACTGAGATTAGTCATTTATCCCTTTATACTGTTTACCTTTGTCCCAAAGAAAGCAGGTCTGTTTTCCCTTACAACATCTCTCCAAACCAGTCTCCTGTGTATTAGGAAGGTGATGATTATGAGCAATTCCTCAGACAGTGTATCAATCACTTTTTCTATGTTGACAGTGATTGTCTGAATTGTTTATTTTTCTTACTAGGATTTCACCCACAAAACAAAATTGTAGAATACTTAGCTGGTGTACTTTCTTTGTCTCAAATACCATTATTTTGTTTGGTTTCCTGCACACAACCTCAAATACGATACACAACTGTGTGCAGGCATGCACACATACACCCTGTAATTATGGTAATTGTTTATTAGCTGAAAATTAATGTTTGGAAAAGCCTGCCTCTTTTTAAATTGAGGGCACTTTCATCTGCAGCCAGCACTCAGCCTGTACATTTTAATTGTGGTCTTAGTCATTTTAGTGTTTCCTGGGCAGTCTGCCTAGTTTGATTTGATTTGATTGTTAAGAGCAGCTGTTTTGCTGTGTTGAGAGAAGGCTCTTCACCCTGTCTAGCAGTGCTCGAGTTACCTTTCTTGTGGCGTGTTTAGTGATTTGTATTTAAAGAGACCTTCCTGAACCCCAGCTTCCCATCCCTGGGGAAACCTATGACACCTGTTCTCTTTTCTAAGCAAGTCAGGAAGAAAATACTTAGACGATTTTGGGAGTTAACTTTATTATATGAAGATAGTATACAAAATACATTCATATTGACTAGAGAGATAGGACCAAATCATATCTATCTGCAGCATAATTGTTGGTTTGTATAAAAGTAACTTTAAAATTCCAGTTTCCTTAAATAGTTCTGCACAAAACACACACACACACACACATATATATACATTTAATTACTACCATGTCAGTCAAAAGATGCATTCATCCTTTAGTCAACTAAAAGGGGCTGGCAAATGTTTATTTTATGCTTGACATTCTTACAGGCTGGGGAACAGGGCAGAGCTAGAAGACCTAAGGAACATTTTCCAGGATTTGGACAAACACGTTAGTTGCACGGGCTCCAACTAAGGTCTGAGCATTGTTTCTTAGACTGACTAGACCAGCACTTCCCCGCATTTTGTCCCCTTCCGCCCGTGCTGCTACACGCGTGCTCTCTCTCCAATCCTGCAAGAAACGCTGCTGCGTCCTGTCAGTGCTGACCCTGTCTGTCGTAGGGACAGACGACCCTCATGACGCCATTGGTTGGATAGTGCTGTAGTTTTTGGTGCTGTTTCAGTGAACTTGTCTGTGGCGAGCACCGTGCAACTTCATACAGCACACGTTACTGCGAGCTGCCATTTTCCTTCCTTTGTCCAGACTCCAGATGGGAACCTTTTTTGACAGATGAACTTGTAGGCTACAAACTCAAGTCTTTCAAGAAACTGAATTAACATATGATACATTGTTTTCTATTGGTAAGATGGTATTACTAAGGTTTCATTGATTAAAAATGAGATGACTGGAATCAGGACCTCATACATAGCTAAGGTTTTTCTTGATTTTCACTAATTGCTGGATCCTTATCTGATTTGAAAAAGTGAGAAAATTGATTGAGGTCTTCTTTATCCTCCCCATGTTTAACCTCCTCTTGGTTTCCTGGTTTACACTGTCACCGGTTGTCACAGGTGCTTTTGTGCAGGTGATGTTTGGACTTGGCTGTTGGCGGAGAGGCCGGCCCAGTGCTCTGCTGGCCGGAGGCGCCCGCAGCAGAGCTACCGTCGGAGCAGCCAGTGTCTCACTGGGGATGTGACGAATTCCATCTCTTCGTACAAAGAACCTTGAAACCAGACTGACAACGGGAAGGATTCTTCCACTACTTACATTTCGGGTTCTAGAATTAAGTTACATGATTCAAGGGAACCACATCTTCTCTACTGGAAGCAGCAATTTGCTGTTGCCTCTCCAGCTGTGACTGGCTCCAAACGCCCTGAATACTGAGCATCAAACAGATCAGAACCATCCGGGAGGCCAGGGCCCTCAGACCATGGAAGAGCAGGCACCCTGCGCACCTGGTTCCCTGTTCCCATCCTCCTCAGACCAAGGCGAGGTCCAAAGCAGATGAAGAGAGGCTTTTCTCCTGTTGATGGCTGATTAATATCCTGAGTCCTGATTCTAGAAATATCTTACGTATCACCTCTGTTCTCAAGGAGCATAAAGTGCTTAATAAACCTTGGTAAATGCTCTAACACATCTTCCCAGGAGAAAAACTGGACAGTGGAATCCCCGTGAAATTTAAAAAACAAAAACAAAACCATGATTGACTTCTATCCTTTGGGTCCCAATTGTTTCTGTGAGTTGGTTTGGTTGGTAGAGAGAGGGGCTTTCACTCTGCCTTGTATTTTTCACTCCTTCTATCCTAGTTTTGATATAGAGAAAGCCTCCACAAGACTGCATTTTCATTCTCTTCAGCTTCCTTTTATAACTAACTGTACAAAACAGGCTAATACAAAACACTGAGGTAAGTGTTTTGACTATACATTAACACTCAAAATAGACTCTGACAATATTCTCTAAAATGGGGCCTTAGGCCCACCAGAGACACTCCCTAACAGATGAGAGACATTCCTGTGAGGTTACTGTGAGCTGTATGCTGCACACCCTGAACTAATATGCCGACTGAGCTAGCTCAGTGAGTATTCAGTGTGTCTTGATCGAGGGGCCAGTAGTATGGGGTCAGCTCTGAGTACCACCCTCAGTGCTAGAAGTAAAAAATGTGCCATATACAGGAATGGACAAAGAACCAGTCCTCTAGCTAATGTTATAAAATTTGCTTTCTTGTCCCCCCAAATGTTTGCTCTTTCCTTGCCTCCCAGAATGAGGAAGGGCACCCTCTTTCTGCGAACCCCAGGCTGGGTTCTCAAATGGGACAGGTCAGGTCAGGGCTTTGGGAGCCACTGGAGGGGCCTTGCAGGAAGCCCTCACCTCTTTTCTTGTGGTCCAGCTCAAACTCTCCTTTCTCACACCCTGTCCTCTGTTTCTCTCTTCTGCGTTTCTCCCTTCCTTCTCCCCCTTGCACAATATGTCTGCCAAAGGACCCAGAGGCATCGCTCCAGCCAGCTTGGTTCCAGGGCTGCAGCAGCCGGCCGGCCTCCTGTGCTGTGTGTCTCCTGAGTCATCCATGCCCTCCCGCCTGGGGGGAAGGAGCAGGGACTCTCTGGGCTTAAACAGTTTTCTCGAGCACACTGAGTAATGTGAGGGTGTAGCAGTAGTGGCCTTCACTTGTCACCATTACTCTCTCTGTCGGGTTATATTCTTGTTAGTCAGAAAAAAGCACTATTAAAAATCACATAAAGCATGTGGCCCCTGTGGAAAGGTAGAGGTGTAAATGTATATGTGTATAATACTGGCAAAAGCTCATTTTCTCAGGATGTAAATACACATGTGGCTGTGGAAATCAGGCTGTGTGTCACACTTCAGACAGGGGGGGTGGAGTACAGGACCACCGACTTGTAGTCAGGGGGAGGAGAGCAGCACAAGACCTTGTCCAGCTGGGAGTCGTCAGAGGTGAACCTGCGCGTGCCTTTGCTGATGCGCCCGCAGCCCGAGTTGCAGAAAGTAGGCCTGGTGAGGTCAGAAAGCCCCGACTCCTTACTCTTGCTGGTGACTCTCACGCTAAAGAAAAAAAGAAAACCATCAAATATACAAGTTCAGTTTCTTGAAATCACACTGATGTCTTCTCTTAATGTGTCATTTGCTCAAATTGTCCTAGAGTTGATGGCTGTTGAATCCCGTTTCGGACTCGGGTGAGGTTCTCTGTCCTGCATGGCACACCACCTCCCTACCAGCTGCGTGTCACCAGGCAGAAGGATGCGTTCTGCTGGCTGGGGTTGCACTACGTGATGAGATCATGCAAAACTATAAATCCAGCAGGAAAGTAACTCCCAAGACTTGGGGATAGCTCTCCTCCACTCTTGGTTCAATTAGCTTCTGGGGTAGGCTGAAAAATGCTCCGCAAAGTACTGATGCCAAGTCCCTGGGATCTGTGAATAGTACCTTATATGGCAAGTGATGTGACTAAGCTGAGAATCTTCAGAGGAGGAGCTTATCCTGAATTATCTAGGTGGGCCCAAAATACAATCACCTGCATCCTTATAAAAGAGGCAGGGAGGGAGATTGACAACCTGAGACAGGAGGAGGTGATAGGAAGGTGGAGCAGAGAAACATGGCCACAAGTCAAAGACTGCCAGGGGCCACCAGGAGCTGGGGGAGGCAAGAGATGAATTCTCCCCCATAGCTTCCAACGCCTTGATCTGCAAGAGAATACATTTCTCAAGCCCCCCACGTTGGTGGTAATTTGTTACAGTAGTCTCAAGAAACTAACAGAGCTTCATACAAAAAGATTAGCACAGTTGCCTCCCTGTCATGTTTGCATTCTAGGAAACTGTATGTCACTGACAAGTCTCAATAGTGACAAGCTTGATTCTGGGTTCTACATGTTAACATCCAGTTTAAGCAGACACACAGGAAGAAAAGCTCTGCTTTCCTTCCGTGTTTGTTCAGCGGTTTTCTCTCATGGTTGGGATGAAGATGAAAGGGCCTGTGCACCGCCACTCATTTGGGCGGGCTCTGGACTAGCTCGCCCAGCGTTTGCCCTGTGTTCCGTATTCTCCATTTTAGAGGATGCAGTTAATGGTGTTCCTTCCTTTAGGAAGATCTAGATCAATGTGGTTGCACATTTGCTACAGTGTTCCAAAGGAGGAGACGACAGACCATGGTACCCTACACTTCCCCCCACCCCTCATGGCTCCCCCGTCTGTCGTCCTCTGAGGACACCAGGAAGGCACTCGACTCTGGTGCTGTTACCGTGCTCATGGGAGAAGCAAACAGATGTGCAGAGGTTTGCCTGCACGTGTTCCCCTCCAACAGAGTTGTGGCCGGTGAACTCTGTGGACTGCGTCACCGAGTGGCATTAGTTGCTCTCCTTTGATTTAGATCAGGACCGGCAAACACGCCTGTTTGTTTGTGGGCTGGCCCCCCGTTTGGTTTGGTTTTGCTTTTGTTTTAAATGACAGCTTTGTCGATGTGTGATTGGCATACTATACAATTCCCCTATATAAAGTGTACAATGGTTTTTAGTATATTCACAGATGGCACAACCATAAGCACACTCAATTTCAGAAGATTTTTGTCATCGCCCCCAAACCCATACAGACCCGGAGGTGTACCCTGCCACCCTCCCCCTGCAGCCCAGACCACCGCTGAGCCGCTTCCCATCGTGATAGAGTTGCCCCTCCTGGGCATTTCCTATGAACGGACTCATTCAATAGGTGGTATTCTATGACTGGCTTCCCTCACTTAACAGTGTTTTCGGGGTTCATCCATGTTGTAGCGTGTGTCAGTACTTCATACTTAAAAAAGTATTCTATTGTTTGTGCTATTACAATTGTGCCAATTTTTCCACTTTTGTCCCCCTCCATCCAGCACCCCCCACGGTACTTCAGACTTTGTATTGTCAAATGATACTCTGTTGTATGGATATGCTGCGTTTCATTTATTCATTCATGAATTGATGGACATCGGGATGGTTTCTTCTTTTGGTTATTATGAGAAATGCTGCTACAAACACTTGTGTACATAGCTTTCATTTATGTTGGGTGTGGGAGTGGAATGGCCGGGTCACAGAGTGACTCCACTGAACATTTTGAGGAACCGCTTGATGGTTTTCCGCAGCGGCTGCACCGTTCACATTCCCACCAGCACTGCACAAGGGTTCCCATTGCTCCACACCGTCTTCAAGAGACTTTTTGATTCTAGCCGCCCTAGTCGTGTGAAGTACTGTCTCACTGTGGATTTGATTTGCATGTTCCTGATGACTACTGATGCTAAGCATCTTTTCATGTGCTCCTTGGCCAGGGCCGCCTGCCTGCCTGTTTTTGAAGTTTATTGGAATACAGCCACACCTCCTTGCTTATATATTGTCAAGGCTGCTTTTACACTGCGGGTGGCAGAGTGGAGTCTTTGTTTACCCTCTGGCCCTTGAGAAAGAGTCTGCTGACCCCTGACTTCAGTGAAAGAGGAGCAGGTTCTGCCTGTGGGTGAGATGGGCAGGCACTGAAACCAGGAAAGGATGGAATGCCTGCCAGGCCCAGCCTTTCCCTGCCCAGCACTCTGCCCTGGTAGAGGCTAGCACAGAGAAGCTGAAGTGACCCAGGGCCAGTGGAGTACAAAGCAAGGGCTGAAGTAATTCTGAGAGTAGTTGTTGCTGGCCCCAGTATGTAAGGAGGAATGCCAGGATCAAACAGGAAGCAAGCCTTCCTTCGAAGGGCTGGATTCTCAGGGTGGCCTGTTTTAGGGTTGGGAAATAGCACTGTGACCCTTCTTGCACAGATGCCGCTGGCCCTGGGCATAACAATAGGTGTGACTTCTCTCCCTGCCCCACAGCATGTCTGATGCCTGCTCTGTTCACAGTTGGGCAGATCGGGCAGATCCTGGGACACTGTGTTTGGTGTGTTTGGACTGCCTGTCTTTGCTGGAAATTTCTGCATATTTTCTCTTCTTAAACCAGTTTTTCTTTCCAGAGCTTAGTGCTCTTATGTCCTCCTCCTTGCCCTTCTGAGGGAAAAAAACATTTTTCCGTACTGCCTGAACGCTATGGTTCAGGAGGACAAGTGGCTCTCGAATATCCCCATTAAACCATTTTCTCAGCATCTTTCTTCATCCCCTCAATCCCCATCAACAGATCATAGGAAAGACACCCAGCTTCCTTACTCAGTCTTCAGTGAGGCCTTGGGTTTGCTCTCAGTCCAGGTGAAGCGCTTCAGCAAAGGGGAGGCCAGCAGAGTGCCACCATCCAGCCGATAATCCTGGTGGGAAGAAGGACAGAGGTCATGTAACGGTGCAGCCAAGGGTGGGGCCCAAATAGGGATTTGTAACAGGATCCAGAACTCAAGGTGTCCAGGAAATATTAGAAATATATATATATATATATGATGTCCTCACCCCACAATCTGAGCTGGGGAAAGGGACACATGGAGCAGCACCATTGAAAGCTGTTTTGCATAGCAACAGCTTTGCAGCTAACCTGTGGCATGGTCATTTAACATATCTATAGCCTTTAACTGGTTTCATGGATATGCTAAACAGCTGTGGCCAGGCTTTGAGGGGGGGCAAGGGGGGCGGGGGGGGGGAACGGAAGTGACTTCCATCCAAGATGTAACTGGGAGGCAGCTCCACTTGGTTACAGCACCGGGGGTGAGAGCTTGAAGATGATTGGGTCCATGCCATGGGGCCATACCTGCCCAGATTCACTGTGGTAGCCCAGTGAAGCTGGAAGAATAGGGGAATGCTGGCGGGTATAACTGATTGTAGGAGAAGTCGGAAATGGGACTGCAGAGGAAGACTGGTGCTGGGATTTAAACCCAGGTGCAGCAGCCATACCAGGGAAAGCCATGAGGCTTTGGCAGAGTGGGGACCCTGCAGCTTTGGGGTGTTTCCTTTTGCCACATGGCTTAGGCAGCAGGAGAGACTTTGCCTGGAAGAAGAGGGGTGAAAGGACTCTTGATTGTGGGCCATGAGAAGGTGCCACATGGTTTGGGACTAACTGGAGATTGTGGTGGCGACAGAGCTGATGGTACCAGGAGCTCAAATCATGAACTTCTACTTCTTTTCCTGAGATACGATACCCCAGACTAGGGCAGAGGGAGAAGGAAGGACTGTGTGCATCTGTATTCTAAAGGACTTCAGTGTTTTAATGAAGACATTAAGTTACTACTCTTAAGTCTGTATAGCTTTAAATAAATCCTTTCCTTTTCACAAATCTCTGGCATTGAGAGATGTCTTTCCTCTGGCAGCAGGTGTAGCAAACCTAGTGTGGGGGAAACCCCTGGAGAAAAAGGGGGGTCCTTTTGGTAATATATCGTACATCCCTCCCCCCCGGTTTTGTTCTGTAACAGTCACACTTCTTGTTTGACCCAGGGTGTCCACACTAGATTTGGGAGGAATGGGAGGAATAGTAGGATGCACTTCTAAAGTCATTCCAGGCTACATTCTCACCTTCCACAACCCCTGCCCATTAAAACAAAGCATTGTCTCCATATTGGTAAGTCTAAACTTTGTCAGTTGCAAGAAATGCCTATTCCCAGTGGCTTTGAGGCCCTTCCTGATGGTAGAAAAAATAAAACAAAATGGGAAACTGTAGATAACAGAAGAGCATTTTTCATAGGAGACTTTTATGCAAATTATAAATATACAAGGTATGTATGGGAAAAGTCCAACCCTTGTTAATATGCTGAATGGTTTGCATGACACCGATGTAACCTGCAGCCAAGGAGAGTGGACTGGAATGCGCATGTATGAACAATGACAACTTCACTGTACTAGTCAGTGGGGGTGGTAGATGCTGTTGAGTGAGCATGTGTACTGTGTGGCCATTGCTTTCAAAATGACTGAGCGAGTAGAGCATGAGTCTGCATGAAATTTTGTGTTAAGTTTGAACATTCCGCTGTGGAAACTGTTTGAGTGATTCAGAAGGCCACAGCTATGGGCAACTGGTGATTGGCAGCTTCATCATGACAACATGCCCACTCATGCATCACGTCCTGTATAGAATTTTTTGGCAAAACGTCAAATCACCCAGGTGGCTTAGCCCCTCTACAGCCCAGATTTGGTGCTCTGTGACATCTGGCTTTTCCCCAAACTAAAATCACCTTTGAAAGGGAGGAGATTTCAGACCGTTGATGAGATTCAGGAAAATATGTCGGGACAACTGACGGTAATTGGGAGAACAGTGTGAGGTCCCAAGGTGCCTACTTTGAAGGGGGCTGAGGTGTCATTTTCCTGTGTACAAAGTTTCTTGTATCTTCTTCAATATGTGTGTCTCTTTTTCATAGTACGTGGCTGGATACTTTCTGGACAGACTCGTATTAAAACTGATTCTGGCAGATGAGTATTGGCTATAAGAATGCTGTTATTTGGTGGCCATGGTATGCAGAAATTCTGAGAAATTATAAAGACATGGCTTATTTCTTTTTCTTGAAGATTCTATGGAATTTTCAGGCCCTTCTTGGCTATGGTTTCCAACAATTCTATTTTCTCGTTGGTTCATCTTTAGCATTGAGTTTGTGCAGACTCATTACTCTTTTAATACACCATTTCCAGTAAGCAGATTCCATACTTTTTCCTGCCACGCTTTGTACATGCTGCTGAGCTGTGTTCATGTCCTTAATCGCCAGTAAACAGGCCTGAGCAAGCACAGAAGCTGCCGCAATTCCCACTGGATGAGGGTAGGGAGGGTAAGATGGAGAGAAACTCTCCACATTTGCTTGGTATCATTTCCCTGGACCTAAGACCTATGTACTAAGTGGCAAAACAAGATTTCCAGCTACTTTACCTTTGTATTCTGGGCTTATTTGTGATGTTTCTTAAATGTTTAAATAATCTTTTCCTCTTGGTGTGTTGGAAGCAGTTTTGCTGGGGTTTTTTGTTTGTTTGTTTACTGTTCAAGCACAGTTGCCTCCATTTCACCCCTGCCGCTCCCTGCCACCCCAGCCATCCCCACCTCCCTCCCCTGTGTTTGTCTGTTTGTTTATGGTGACTGTGCTCTGTCTCAAGGCCACACTGTGGTCATTTCCTGCCCACTATAGCTGGTTTTCTAGGCCCCCTGTGGGACACGGTCATCACCAGGACTTGTCAAACTTCAATGTACACATGAGTCCCCTGGGATCCTGTGATAGTGCAGAGGCAGGCTCGGTGGGTGTGGCTGGTCCCGAGAGCCAGCAGTGGTGGCCCACTTAGGGGCAGCAGTGTGTTCCTGGGGACCACACTGTGAGGCTGAGGCTCTGTGATGCCACAGGGACATGCTTGCCCAGCACTCCCTCTCTTCCCGTATCTCCTCAACTCCGGGCCCCAGGGCTTTAAAGAGACAAGCTGTTGAGCCCTCCCATGTGCCAGATGACATGGATTGCTCCTCCCAGTGTCTGGCTGGCAACACGACTGTTCAGCCTCTGGAACCTAAGTGGCAAGGAACATAGGCCCAGATGAACTTCTTCCAGAGTCTTGGGTTATTCTTGTGAGAAAGTTTGCACGACGCTTGGCCACTCACCATTTTGAGTGCTTCTGTTCCTCTGAAAGTGGGGTTCCATTGCTGGTAGGCAAGAAGCTTACAAACACACAATGAAGTTTCCTAAGGGACTACATTATGATGAAGCAAAGACTTGGATCCTGGAGTGAATTCTGGGTCATCTTCAAACTATGGAATTGTTGGGGTCCGCCCTGCCTGGTCTCAGGAAGCTGTAACCCTTCATGGCTCAGGCTGAGTAAGAAACCTCCAGACCAGGAGACACTGAGGAGACAAAACTTATTTCCCTGGCATGAACGCTGCCTCTTCTGTACCATCCCCCAATGCTTGATCAGTTAGCCAATGATGGGTAAGATTTCCCATGGGGGGAATGATCTAAGATAGGCATGATCATGAGGAGGCCTCAGGGAAGGACTTGGGGGGCTGTGGAAATGAAGGGGTGATTGACATCGACCCCTGCCCCCACGGCTTTGTCAAAGCCTGAGTCCTTGTTCTTAGTTGTGAGAAATCCAAGTCTCCTGGCTGCCTTTGTCTCCTCTGCCCGACTCAGGCCTGCGGAAATACCAGGGGCGGCGCAGTCCAGACGAGAGTCGACGGACCCCCAGGGTAATCAGACCTGAGACATAGAATATGCAAGATCCTGTGAGATCTGCTTGCTGGATGATGCTCTTGAATTAGAATATGAAGGCATAGGCAGGAAACAAAACTAGCCTTTTAGGTCCTGTAGTCTTTTAAAGTGATAAAACCCAAAAATCTCAGCCCAGAATCCCAGCGGGAGATCTGCCAGCCCCTTTGAAAGCTACCTACTTGTTTTATCTTCCCTGCCAGACTATAATCCACAAACTGTATCTCTATTCTTAATAAAAGCCTACTCAGGCAGCTACTTGGGGCACTCTCTAGTAGAGAGAGTGGCCGTTTCGTCCCTCTTCCTCCATAGGACTCGTCGTCCATGTGTATGTTTTCTCCTGTCTTCGAGCATCTGCAGCAGCGATGGATACCACTGGCCGGTATCCGCCACATGGAATTACCTTTCAAATGAGCTCTGTATAATTGTATGGTTGTCAATCCCCCTGAAACTGCCATTTCAGCCACCACTCATTACCAGCCCGCATTGACTGAGAGCCACCAGACTACTAGAGTTTGTGTTTGGGTGGAGTCTGGCAAAAGGCTTTCCAGGGTGCATTGAGTAAGCTAATTCCACTACTTACATCAAGCATGGAGATGACTTTTGGTGAAAGCTCTTCAAATGTTTTGATTCTTTCCAGGCTTATGAAATTGAAAGCATTTACATATCTAATGAAGAAGCAGAAAGAACAATCAAGACAGGAAAATGCATCCAGCTTTGATTAGTCAGGAGACCATGGGCACCACATCCCAGCAAAGATGAACCAAAATACCAGGAGGAATCACCTTACTCCCGAGACTGAAGTTCCCCTAGGGGTCCTGACACTCCTCCCAGTAGTGGGTAGGCCTCTGGCCCCTTGTGGAATCAGAAAATGGGAGGCCTAGAAGAGACCTGTCATTAGTCTAAACACCTCACATTATGAAGGAGAGGAAATAATGTCCAGAGAATTAATGTGACTTTATCACGTAGCTGCCTCCTTCTAAAAGAACATGAGGGAATAAATGAAATGAACGGTTAAAGTCTAACAGCTGATTTAATGGCACAGTTGAGTACTAGAGTGAGTCTTGCATATTCTGTTCTGTGTTACAGATTGGCAGAAATGGGTAATATTTGTGTGATTTGCCCATAAATACCTCCTGGCCTTTTATTGGTGATCCGTTAGGGAGGACGGTCAGCTATCCACCATATGGCTACTCATAAGAAATTTTCAGCCTGATAGATACCCTGTCACCATCTGCAAGGCCCAGTTTCTTAGGTAAGCTCTCTCTTGGGCCTAAGGCTAAGCAATATACTGGAAGGGCCCAAATAACTTTGACACTCCCCTCCCCCATCTCTGACTCAATCAGACCCTGACAATTTATTTAATCCAAGCTAGTTTTCTCATCTTAAAAAAATAGATGACCCATCTGTCTCAGCTTGGGCTGGTTGTGAAACATGAGCAGTGCCACTGACCTATTCAACCTGATCACAAATCTAGGTTGGCCTCTGGGCTTCTCGGCTGTCAGTATTTCTAGACTGTGCAGCTCTTCCCGACGATGCCTTCCCTGGTCCCCTGCCAAGTTTGTCTGAACTGAGGGCAGAGTCCCAGGGTTCTATCAGTTGCAGACAAAGATGCTAGAAGGCCCACAGGATAGTCAAGGTCCTAAAAAGAGTCCTGATTGCATGGGAACGGGAGGGAGCGTCAGAACACGCGGGTTAGAAACTCTTCAGCCCCGTTCCAGGCACACACTTCTGGCAAGTTATTCTCCATGGAGCCTTAATGTCCGCAGCTGTATAACATGAATGAGAATATTTCCTCCATAGGATTATTTTGAGCATTGAAGGAGTTGCTATATGCAAAAAGCTGAGCCCAGTGCCCATCCACATGCAGCATGTGTCTATGTGACCATTCATATACAGATTGTACATGATACACACATAACCATTAGCACAGAGTGTCATATATGTGCCATCATTGGTGCTGATGTGCAATAACATGTATAATGATTAGTAACATGTGTGACATGTAACAGTGCTAAATGTGTGGGCTACACATGAAAAAAAGTCAATGTCATTGAAACAAAGATAGAGGAATTATTTTAGAATAAGAGACTAAAGGGACTGAAGAAAATAAAGAAAATAAGGTGTAAATGACATTTGGGGAAATCTGAATATCTAACGATATTAAAATATCTGTTTCTTTGGTGTGATAATTTTGGTGTGGTTACACAGGAGAATGTCCTTCTTACAAGATGTATGCCAAAGTAGTTAGGGGCAAAGTGTCACAATGTTCTAGACCTCTTTTCAAATGCTTCAGCAAAAAGAAAAATACACAGAGACTGTGTATAAATATATTGGTATAGACATAGACAAAATAGGGCTGTTAACTATGGTTAAATTTAGGAGGTGCAATTTTTCTTGTATATGCCTGAAAACATTATAAAGTTGAGGGGAAAAGAAATCTTACCTGACATTATCAGAACTTCCTGAAGTAAGCCTTGGAGCTGAAATATCTTCCTTGAAGAAGTCCTCAGGGAAGGCAGGAGTTGAGTATGTGAACCCACTATTTCCTGTGAGTATGGCATTTAGTGGGATATAGTCTTTACCATCCTAAAATACCAAAGATCAAGCTCTAAGTGCAGAAATTTCTACTTCAACTTGTTTCAGTGAACCATTGTGTCAGCTTCAACTATGTCACTTTCACAATCTTAGCTTGGTTTGGAAAGAAAATTCTGTGAAAGATAACTGTGTGCCCATGTGCATGCACACACATCCACATTTTTTTAAACTGCTGATCTTAGCTATTAAAACACCCCCTTAACTTACACTCAAAGGCACCTGGCTGCTGATACTGTAGGTAAGTTTGGCTTTACCTGCTGTACATTTGCTTGAAGCAGATCTCCGAGTTTTTCCACAAGTTCTGCAAACCTCGGCCTTTCTCTGGGGTCTCTGTGCCAGCAGTCCAGCATGATCTGATAGCTGTTAGAGGGGAGCACAGCAGAAATGGCTGGGGAGCAGGGTCATTACACAGATCTCCCTCCATGTCCTGTCAGCAAAGTGACAGGTGTTGTCACGCATATAAAGATTTTGCTTTGTACATGGTATCTGCCTGTATTTGTAGATTTGCATATGCAGCACCACCACGTAAGTGGCTGTTTGGGTCCGGTCCCGCAAGTAGTTGGAGATATGTCTACAAGGGCAGACTAATGAACCACCCTCCAGAGCCCATCCCTGACCCTGAGTTATTCAGAAAGGAAAAGCCACTGTTCACTTGCAGTCAGATCTGAAGTGTAACACTTCTCCCCTCACCGCCGAAAGACGATGTCCTTACAGGTAAAAAGTTAACATAGACACAACTATCAGTGGGTGCATAGTTTGCAGCACTCAGTATGTTCTTGGGCTGCAGCAGAGGTTGACAGGTGGCATTTCCAAGTCCTCACAGTCCCACTGTTGAGCTCAGTTGTGGAGACCAATGGGGAAGGCCTTGTGTACAGGACTCACAGCACCTTGAGTGTCAGCATCTCCCTGGGCTGTGTGCAAGGTTCTTGCATGTGGCTGATTTTCCCTCTAGCATTTCAAAGCTGCCATTATAAACTGGCTTCCTACCAGTTAAGGCAAAAAGTACAGGCTGGGCTTCTGGACCTGAAAATGTTTGTCTTAATATTACAGAAGTTGAATCTTGTACCGAGATTTCAATGTCAGCAGGCTGCTCTGTGATTATTCTCCTCTGACATCTAAGGAGTGAAGGTATCAGGCCCCTCTCTTGGAAGCATCTGCAGGGAGTATAGATCTCTACCTGCCCCTCTCGGCAAAACACCACAGCAAGACTGGCTTAAGGATTTATTTTCTTTGGGCTCTTCACTCTGCTCAACACATGCTTATTGTAGGTAATCTCTTCTCTCAGTAGATATTTGGACTAGAGAGGACTCTGACTGAGTAGGATCGAAATCTGAATGGGGAGACTTCTGGTCAAGAAGGAGGTGTAGGTAAACATGGCTTGCCTTCTTGCACAATCACAGCAAAAATTACAACTAGACTACAAAACAAATATCACCCAGAATCATCAGAAAATCGAGCTGTGTGGAAGTCTGACAATCAAGGAATTGAAATCACTTTCATCCAGATGGGTAGGAGGGGCGGAGAGGTGGAGACACATTGAGAGGCATGAAGATGGGGAGATACGGAATGGGTGGTCCCATTCCCTCATGTGGTAGATAAAAATCAGGAGGGATACCTCGAGAGCGAGGGATCCCAGCCCCAAACCAGACCACCCAGCCCAGAGTTCCAGTGCCAGGAATATAAGTCCCCATAATTTCTGGCTGTAAAAACCAGTGGGGGTTGGGGTAGCAGACGAAACTATGGGATTCCCAGGAGTCTCCTCTTAAAGGGCCTGCCATGGACTTAGGACTTAAGCAGGCTCACTTCCTCTGGGCTTCAGCACCAGTGCAGCACTGGAAGGGTACCAATGGCATATGGGGAGAAATTGAAGTGTCTGACATCAGAGTGAGTGCTAGGGAACAGCTTCCTCTCAGACAAAACTCCAGAGGTCAGGTTGCAGCACTGTCCCCTTTCTGAGACCTCTGCCACACACAGGCACAGAGTGGCAACACCATATCGGAGACTCCATCAGCTTGATTATAACAGGTTGCTCCACTCTGGTGATTACCTAAAGCTCTGCCCCATCCAACTTACTGCTGTGCTTTTGTACAACAGGCCATGCAGCTAAGACAGGGAGTCACAGCAGCTCTACCTGATACATGGGAACAAACACAGAGAAGCTGCCAAAATGAGGAGACAAAGAAATATGGCCCAAATGAAAGTACAGAACAACATTCCAGAAAAGAACTAAAAAAAATGGAGATAAGCAATCTATCAGATGCAGAGATCAAAACAGTGGTTATTAGGATGCTCAAGGAACTCACTGGGTACTTCAACAGCATAAAAAAGACCCAGGAAGAAATGAAAGTTACAGTAAGTGAAATAATGAAAAATTTACAGGGAACCAACAGTGAAGTGGAGGAAGCCAAGAATCAAATCAATGATTTGAAACATAAGGGAAAAAAAATCAGAACAGCAAGAAAAAAAAGAATTCAAAAAAATAAGGATAGGTTAAGGAGCTTCTGGGACAACTTCAAATATACCAACATTCAAATTATAGGGATGCCGGAAGAAGAGAAAGAGCAAGAAATTGAAAAGTTAGTTGAAAAAGTAATAAAAGAAAACTTCTCTAATTTGGTGAAGGAAATAGACATACAGGACCAGGAAGCACAGAGAGTCCCAAACAAGATGGACCCAAAGAGGCCTCCACAACACATCATAATTAAAATGTCAAAGGTTAAAGATGAAGAGGGAATCTTAAAAGCAGAAAAAAAAAGCCGATAGTTACCTACAAAGGAGTTCCTATAAGACTGTCAGCTGATTTCTCAAAAGAAACTTTGCAGGCTAGGAGGGACTGACAAGAAGTATTCAAAGTGATGAAAACCTAAATTACTGTATCCAGCAAAGCTATCATTTAGAATCAAAGGGCAGATAAATTGCTTCCCAGACAAGGTAAAGCTAAAGGAGTTTGTCATCACCAAGCCCTTATTGTATGAAATGTTAAAGGGACTTACTTAAGAAAAAGAAGATCAAAGTGATGAACAATTAAAATGGCAATAAATTCACAAATATCAATAATTGAATCTAAAAAACAAACTAAGCAAACAAGCAGAACAGAAACAGAATCATAGATATGGAGATCATTTGAAAGGTTATTAGTTGGGAGGGGGAAGGAGAAGAATGGGGGAAAAAATTCAGGGATTAGGAAGTACAAATTGTTAGGGACAGAATAGACAGGAGGTGTTAAGAACAGTAAAGGAAATGGGGAAGCCAAGGAACTTATATGCATGACCCATGGAGAGACTGCCGGAAGGAATGGGGGTACTGGGTGGAAGGGGTCAAAAGGGGAAAAATTGGGACAAATGTAATAACATAATAAAATATATTTTTATTTTTATTATATTTTTACAAAATCTGAATGGGCTCAGAATTTGGAACTAGGTGGGGGCCTTATGGCCATGCTCCTTTCCCAGCTCAGGGCCTGGCGTCCAAGCTGAAGGAGGTCAGGCCGTTCTCAGGGAGGGCAGGGCACCTGAGGAAACCAGTGCCCTCTGACCTCTGCCGCTTCCCTGCTGCGTGCTTTCAGGTTGTCTCCTAAGGATACCCCTATTTGGTTTCAAAGCATATGAAGTGGCTGGTAAAGACACTAAGAATATAGGAAGATTTAAAAAAAGAGAGGGAGAGTATCAGGAGGAAGGTAAAATAAAGATTAAAAGGGTGGAACTACAGACATAGTTAATATGCAAAGTTTATTTCATGATTCCCAGGCAGCTGGAAAAAAGGAGGCACAATCAATTACCTGACACACCAGAGCCAGAAGCTCGAAACAAATTAGTTAACTTGGAAGAAGGATGGCCATTTCCAGAACTGAAATCTGAAAGGAGGCCCTCCTAGATGCCTCTCAGCATCATTACTATCTGGGCAATAACGGTTTTGTGGGAGTGTCTCCTACATTGTCTTTTAATGTGGCCCAAAGCCTTCATGGCAAAAAAACACCACAACACCACTCAGTGAAAACAATCCTGCCAGCCGAACAGTGTGGTTCAGGTGATGCGTCCTAAGGTTCTGAACTAACACGGGGATGAACTTCTAGGTGCCCAGGGGAGAGGTGCACTGTGTGGCCTCCAGACACCCTCCCCGGGCACTGGTCTGGACGAGCAGGCTGTCCTCACAGTTTGGTCTTGAGGTTCTGCTCGCTGACGAGGACCCAGCAAGCAGATGTCCGAAGCCTCTGATTGGGAACCAGAGCTCATGAAGATCACTTGTCTGCATCACAAATTCTCCTCCCCTTCTCGGGAGGTGATTCCAGTTCCCTCTCACCCCTGTGCTTTGGCCTGAACCCATTCTGCCTCCCTCCCGAGGGATGTGGAGTGGCCCAGCCAGTTCGGAGAGCTGTGAGGGGCCTTTGGTGAGTGTGATGTGTGGGCCGGCATTGAGACCACTGCACTGGACTGAGTTATAGACGGAGCAGACTGGGAAGGAGGATGGGAACTCTAACTCTGGGCCATGGTCCCTGTTCTCTGGGAGACACAGGCCGGGGCTGCAGTGCCTCGCACTGAAGGCTTAAGGCACTCGTTCAGGCCGCTGGGGCCAGCCTGCTCTGAACTAGCGTAAGACAGTCTGCACAATCCTATGTGAGTATCATTTTAAGGTAAGTTTACACATTTTACTAATGTTAAGATAGGTACAAAAATGTATTTGCCACAGAGGCAGGGGTCACTAGAGAACTCAGTCAGATCCCCACCCCAAGGTGCACGGGCTGTGGCAGAGGCTGGCCTGCTCCCACCTGACCACAGTCAAGCCTAACAGGCCAAGGCTCCTGTATCTTTAGCAATAAACAGATTCTCGGAGGCCACTGGAGGAACATGAACCATAGAAGTTGATGACCTATAAAAGGAAGTCAAAGCAAGAAAGGTTTGAGCTAGAAAAACAAAAAGGGGCCCTGAGGCAGGAGTGCTGGTAAGAGGCCCCAGCTCATCTGCAGCCAGCACCATTTCCCACCGCAGGCCGCTGGGGGGTCTGACCACATGTGAGCAGGGCTCTTCCGGTCCCCAGTGCTGAGACTAGCAAGACAGGCCACCGACAGCTATTGCTATTCTGCATTTTGATTCTTGGTTTCTGATTTCCAGGTTCCATTTCTCTTGACTAAAATTCAATGCAATTATCTTAGCAAACATTGAAGGAAAAGGAAAAAAAAACCCATTAACTGCTTATTCCCATATTGAAAGGCATCTGATTAAATAGGCTCTGGGCAGAAAACCTACACCTGAGCATTAAACAGTTTTACACCACTGAGTAAACAAGTTTAATGCAGTAAAAGGGCACCAGCTGCACCCAACCCAACAGTCCTTGCAACAAGCTGGGGGTGAGGAGCCTATGGGAAGAGCTTCCTGTCGGAGCTGTCGCCCGAGCTCCCAAGCACACGCCACTTCAGGCCACTTCAGGTCTCAGAACCCCAGTTCTGAGAGCTGTACTGTGTGCGTCCTCACCCCCACAGCTTGCAAACGCTTGAGAATGGCTCAAGGTTTGAATTTCGGCCTTCTGAGCCAACATTTCAAAACAGTTGCTTCATACTTTCTATCATTTCTGAAATAAACCCCTAGAACTAAGAAACAATCCTTTCTAAGGGTTGTGTGGGTACCAAGGCGACCTGGGAGAGGGTTATGTGGTTATGTGACTCGAAGGTTTGGTGAGGTTCAAGGAAGCTTTTAGTCCAAAGTCGATACAACTCTGTAGCTGGACAGTTATTCTGGACCAGGAGCTGGGTAAGGATTGGAAATACACTGTGCAGGTCCATAGCACAGTTCTGTGGACTTTGGACTCAGACTGAGTTTGCTGAACTTACTGGCAATGTGGCAGATCGCTTAGATGTTCTATGCTCTTTGGCGTTCTCCGTAAAATGGAGATAATAACAGTACCTACTTTATAGGGTTGTTATGAGCATTAGGAAAATTACCATATATTAAAAGTGCTATAAACAGTGCCTGACACTTTATAAGCACTAAATAAGTATTAAGCATTATTTACTAATGGCTACAATTATTACTATTACTGTTAGTAATAAAGAATTCACTCATGATTTCCACATTATGTGAAAAGCAGAAGGAACTATTTAATTCAGATCACGAGTGGACATATTGGAAAACATTTCTTCTATGGCATGTGGGGTGTATTCCTATCAGTCCTGGGATCTAGGGAGACCAGCCCAAGGGACTGGCTTCTAAATTTGCCTCCTCTACTATTTCGCTGATGGTGGACAAATCACCTCTCTTCTCAGAGGCTTAGTTTCATTATTTATCAAAGTCACATTGTATATCTGCCTGCCTGCTCCTCAAGGTTGCTGGGAACTTCACATGAGACGGTATGGAGGAAAACATTTAGAAAACCGAAAATGTAAAGTAATCTCATTTTAAACCAGATCTCGTAGGGTTTGCCTCTCTCCACCAAGTAAAATGAAGCAAGTAATTACAAACTCTCGATGCACCCTGGCTGGTGTGACACAGTGGATTGAGCGCCAGCCTGAGAAGCAAGGGGTCTCCGGTTTGATTCCCAGTCAGAGCACATGCCTGGGTTGCAGGCCAGGTCCCCAGTAGTGGGTGTGCGAGAGGCAACCACACACTGATGTTTCTCTCCCTTTCTTTCTCCCTCCCTTCCCCTTTAAAAATAAATAAAATATCCCTTGAAAAAAATCTCCCGATGCTTTCAATACTACCAACACTACCACCCCAATGCTGCCCAAGAGCTGATATATCTGTCCCCAGCCTTGCCTCAAGCTCCCTGCATGTTCCTGATGAGGACACCATCATATAAGACTGACAAGAACAGGTCCGCTCTGTCCCCTCTCTCCTCTCTGCACTAAGGCTGCTCCCCTAACTCAGCCTTCACAGGCCTGAGTTTCCTGTCCTCATCCTGCATCTGACCTAGCCTTGTCTCCAGACATGAAGGAAAGAGACCTCGACCTTGCACTTTGGCCAAGCCCCTACTTCCTTCGTTCTCTCTGACTCCTCCTCAAAGGCCATCCCAGGGCTTCTGACAGGACCCACTGTGTGGGCGGGGTGAGGGGGCCGCCTGTCAGTTCAGGAAAGGTGGTGCCGCCCTGGGCAGGCCCATGTCCTTGTCAGCAGCTCAACAAAACTGCAAATGTCATCACATTCCTGCTCAGGACTCAAAATGCAAAACATCCACAAAGCTACAGGAAAAAAGAGCATCCCAGAGAGGCAAGCAAGGACTGAACAATAGAGAAACCTTCACACAGAGCCCGGCTTCTTCCTGGAGTCACGGGGCTGCACAGCAGGAAGCCATCGCAAGAAGCAGCTTCAGACGGCTGCCCAGACAATTCCTAAACTGAGCCTAAAGCAGCCTTATTGCACAAGTAACCTCTGGGGAGCATAATTACTAATTCCATGAGGGAGGTCCCCTCTTCCTTTCCTATACCTCTTCCACTGCATTCCAAACCAACCCTCTCACTGGTCTTCAGTGCGGATAGAGGACTGGTCTTGGTGGCTTCCAGTCCTTCATCCCTGTGGTTGCTTAGTGCATTTGGCTTCCACTTTGTGTGCCAGGACAAGGTCTTTCTTACATTCAGTTCCTGAGTGATCTGCTAGTTTTGCCTTGATTCAGACCAGCACTGAGTTTCTGACTTCAGTTCCCAGCCACAGGTCTTGAAAAGTCATGCCCGTGATCAAGAGAAGAAACAGGTAAGGATGGAGTGAGGACAATGTGCCTCACTTCTGGAAAATACTACCCGTGCAGCTGGACCTCATTGAGGCTAAAACTCAAGGGAACATCCCCTTTCTGAGGTGTCCTGTGGGGACAAGAGCTGTCAGGGTGGGAAAGGAGGAGACCAAGGGCTCACATTTCAGGGGTGGCGTACTCAGGAGCCCTCATCCTCATGCCCTCCTTCAGGCGACTGCAGAAGTCCTCATCCATTTGCACTCCCGGATATGGAGACCCACCTGCACGAGACAATGGGGAAATCACAGGGCACATTATGGCTTCGGGGCACAAAAGACCATGAGGGGTAACTCAGTGTCCGTTTCCTCCCTTTAAAGTGATGGTTTAGTAATAAATTCCCAGTGATTGCAAAGGATCTCCACACACAGCACAATTCATACTGAAGCTCAGCAAAGCCTCACTAGTGACATACCTGTGGTTGGTTGGCCCCGTGGGGCTGGGTGTCTGATGCCCCAGGTCATTCCTGTGGCTACTCCTGTCCGTTTGGTCAGGAGAGAGGGTGTCATCTAAACGGTCCCTTTCCTCTCCCCATGAGGGAATCTAAAGAAATCCCACCTCAAGAGACTCATTCCCTGGGTTAATGACCTTATTTTTAAAAGACCAAGGGACTTGGAATAGGTCAATTGTGGATGACACCTCCGTGAGAATGATTTTAATTCACTACTTTCTTGTAAACTTGGGATCTAGGAAGCCTAGTTGCTATGATGGCCCTAAGGGAAAGGGGGGTCTTGAGCTCCAGGAGTAGGCTGAAGGTAGGGGTTGCCTGTGGACAGGAGTCTGTGGACCAGAGGGTCCCAGAGGGGTCTAGACTTTGCTTTTTGCTAGTTTTACTGTTCAGGATGCCCGTGTGACCTTTCCTTTAGGGATATTCTTGGCTAGAGGTAGTGGTGAACCAGGCCTCCCAGTCCGCTCTGTTTCAGACCTCGAACCTCCTCTATCTCAGCATTTGTTTGTCTGTGCTTTCTAGTGATTACTGCTGGTAGGAAGCAGCTGGGAGGCGTGCAGTGCTGGCACTGTGTCACTTCGGGGCCATTGTGGCCGCCAAGCTGCTTTCAAAGACTGGAAGCAACAGGTGCCTGTCATCGAAAGCAGGGGAATGATTTTCACACATTACAGGAAACCAGGGATGTTACTGCATGATTTTTATTTGCTCTGAAAGGCAAATTTTTGGCAAAGTCCAAAAGACTCTTGGCTAGACCCCACACTTGGGAGGCTTCGGAGCAGCGGTGTGTGTCTGCAAGCAGATGTGGGCTGTGTGCACATCTCTGTGCTTGGGGCCTTCCACATGGTCTCCAGCCACCCACAGTGGATGTGGCTGGAAGCAGAATGAACACAGGCCATGCTCCCATGTGTTCAGCCCACACAAACCAGTGTCCAGGACAGGCTGAGTTAATGTCAGTGGCACTAGAAAGGCCTCTGGTTCCTAACACTGTGGGACCTGTGCTTGTTGGGGCCTTTTCTAGAAAATTCTGAGAAGAGGCATGATGCAGAAAGAGGGGAGGGAAGGGCACTAGGATCGGGGTGTTTGAGGAGTTTAGGAGAAGCGAACAAAGGACAGAAAAAGGAGAAGCCAGACTGGCTGACTGCATGCCTGACTTCAGATTTCATACTGTCTGACGTTGTGTTTGGGTGAGGCAGCGTTACTATCCGGGAGACACAGGCCCACACCATTCCACATCGGAGATTCTGCACGGGCCATGCCTCTGCGGGAATTCAGTTCTCTCAGATGCTGACCTAAAGGTCCTATCTAACCAGAGGACACTCAGCAGACATTTGGTTTGGGTCTTTTTGATTTTTTCCTTCCCCCAAATTTACCTAAGGAGAAGATTTCCCACAGCAGTACTCCGTAAGACCACACGTCACTCTTGGTGCTGTAGATTTTGTCAAAGATGGATTCAGGAGCCATCCATTTCAGAGGAAGTCGAGTCTGGAAGAGGAGAAGGGGGCCTTGAGCAGAACATGCAAACACAGCACATTCAACCCAAGTGCCCCTAGGGTCACCTCCCGGATAACACTTGGCCCAGAAATCATTTCCTAGAGCAGTTACGGTTTTCAAACACAGAGAAACTCTTATAACATGCAGCATTAAACTAAAAGAGAGAGCTGTGTGCTGTACCAACTCCTAGGAAGATAATACATGTTTAGTGAGCCCCTCCTATGTGTCCTGTATGTCTTGACTCTATGACTCTAAAATCATTTTCCCCCAAAACTTCCACTCCACAGCAACCTGGAAAATAGTGCTTTGAATTAGAAGACATCCTGGAAATCCATAAATTCCAGGAAGTTTTCTTAGGAAGGACGATTTTGAAAGGCATTCTCATGCAAAACGACAGAATTTTAAAAGTCATTGAATGGGGGTAGTGGGCAAAGACATTGGGAAGAAAGAAGGTGAGAGGCAGTATTTAGGAGACCATGTGGCTGATTTTCAAGTGTGCAGACAAATTTTTGTTCTCCTCTAGGTCGCAGGAATCCCAGTGCGCTAGGCCTTGCCCTTTAGATGGATGGGAATTGACTGGAAGCAGGGGACAATGGAGAGACAGAGGACAATATGACAGGAGGGTCAGGGAGAGAGTGGCTAAAAGAGATGCAGATGAACAGAAGAGACGCACAGGTAGCTGCCACCTCTGCATACCAGGGCTCCCCAGGAAAGTATGTTGATTTTTTTCTTTTATAAAAAGAGACGTGAAGCACTAGTTCTCCAAGTAGAGTCCTGGGGACCGACTGTGTCAGCAGCATCTAACATTTTTTAGAAAGGCAGACTCTCAGGTCCCACCCAAGACTTCCTAAATGAGAAGTCCTGGGGTTGGGGCCCAGCAAAAGTGTAGTTCCACAAGCCCCTCAGGGGGTCTGTGTGCTCACTGAAGTCTGAGAAGCAGTACTGCAGAGTGACCAGCAGAGCCCAGACTCAGGCTCAGACTCGCAGGGTACCAGCGGAGGAGGGAGGACACAGGAGGTCATTTACAAAAGTGAAACATAACACTATGTCCACAAACAAGTAGGGAAGCCAGTGTGAGCCAGCAGGGCGATGCTGGGGTGGAAGGCAGGGGTGGGGGTGGGATGGGACACACAGCTTCCTCCACAGCAAGATAATAACCAGTACCTCCCCCACCCTTTCCTGAGATGCATACACCTGCTGAATCAATCACCCGGGTTTATTTGAGGGAAAGAGTCCAGGCTGTTCTTTCCAGTGGTTCTGAAAACTCCCACAGGAGTCAAAGGGAGGAGCCCAGGGTCCTGCTAAACACTTCTCAGGTTAGCATGCTCGGTCAGCACTGCCCGGAGGACAGGGACTGGGCGGGGGTCAGGAGGAACGGGACCGGAGACGGCGGTCTCTCTGGCGGGACACAGCCCATCTGGACTGCTTGTCTCCCCGGAAAGCACACAGCAGCTTTCAGGGGCCACTGTTGAGGAAGTGTCAACATTTACCAAGGGCTTTGGTCTGTGGTTTAAAAATGATAGGGTAGAAAAGAGTCAAATAAACATCAAACTGACTTACATCTCCTTTTCTCACATAATCGGGGTTCTTATAAATATCCCGGGCAAGGCCAAAATCACAAATCTTCACCACGTTGTTCTCAGATAAAAGAATATTTCGCGCTGCCAGGTCCCGATGAATGCACTATAATAAAGCAGTTGCATAATCAGTGTGTTTCCTCAATCTAACTGACTAATTTCCTGCAGCTTGTCAGTGTCATTCTTCTTCTTCTTTTGAGGATCTGTGACATGCCGGAAGCAACCCCTAGTGCTCACGGAGTCACCGTAAACATGGAGGGCCTCTTCATAAATAGTGGCCCCCGGAGACCCTGGAGCCAAGGCAAGGCCTGACTCGGCTCTGTTGCCGTTTAGCAGCACAGCATCCTGGTCAATGCAGTTGCAACCTCATTCTTTCAGTGAGCAAAGCGTGCCCCCAGCCTTTGTACCTAAGCTGTAGCAATCGGACAGTGATCCAGCTGCAGAGCCGGTCAGACTCACGGGCCCTCCCGGGAAGTGCTGTGTGCTGCGGCTCTGGCCAGTGTTGCGAAGACACTGGAGGGCAATGTGGAGAATGGAGGCCAAGACTGTCCGGTGGGATTTTTCCCTGGAGTTAAGTTCTACCCCTTGGTATCTAAGACTCAGTGTTCTCATAATTCTTCACTCCAATCAGGACAAACTCAGGCATTTTTCCTGATGTCTACTTTATATTTAAGGACATAAGCATAAGCAAATACTAAGAGAAGTGGATTTATAGCAAACATATGTTTGTCCATGTGAGTGTCCACGTGCCCAGGCCTGGCAAGAACAACAGTGAAGAGCAAGACTGACCTTTCTTGAAGACAAAAACTCCATGCCTCTAGCCACTTGAAAACTGTAAGAAATCAGGTCTTCCATAGTTAGGGGCTGCTTGTAGAAACCCTCGGAATCTGGAAAGCATTAAAACCACAGCAGTCTGTAATGGTGCTTGCTATTCCGCCAAATCCCAGCTCACTGAAACAATGTTAGTAAAACATAAAACAAACCAACAAGTGGATCAGAGTTCATTTTCAAGAGCATTGGAGTTTCGGTACAAATAGCAGAGATTTTTCCAGGCCTCTGGCCTATTTTACCAAAGCGTAGGGGTCTGTTAAGACAGAAAGGCTTGAGGGGAGACAATTATACAGAGTTCCCTGTCCAAATTAGTAACTCTGTAAATAATCTTAATTCAAATCTTATCTCCTCAGGACATTACCCTTCAAGTCTCCCACGGATGTTTATTAGGGTGATAAATAAGAAAAAAATTTCAGAGATGCGCAGTATGTTGTAAAAATATCTCGGACTGTAAGACAGGAAGGAATTATTAATACCTACCCTCCTCTTCCTCAACATCACTTAGACTTTTATCTTCTTGAAACCCGGAGCTTGCGAAGCTCTCGCTGCTGGCGACACTATCTAGTCTCTGTTTCTTGCCTTGCTCCAAGTCTGGCTCCATGTTTTCTTTTTTAGGCTCCACGTGTAATGCTGCATCCTTTGCACAGAACAAGAAGGACACAGATGAAAGGGAGCTCCAGACTGAAATGGGGAAGACAGTCCATCAAGATGGCCACTGCCCGAGTGGGGAGAAGGTCGTTCTGTACAAGGGAGAGTGAGTGAGCAGCCAGGGCCCTGTGGTGGCCAGGCACCTGCCTGCTCCTGGGGTCGTGAGTCTAATACCGCTCTTGACCGGGCTTCTAGACAGCATCTTAGGTAGGATGAAGGGGTATTAATGTCAGCTGGAACTCACTGACAGCTTACTCAGTGTGAGACAGAATATTAAGAATTTTAGGTATATGTTCTCATTTCATCTTTGCAACAATTCTGTAAGATAGTTCTTGCTTATACACTTAAAAATAGGTACAGAGAAGTCAAGTAACCAAAGTCATATGCAACTATTAAATGGCAAAGCTTGAACTCAGGTTCAGCCATCTGTAGCCTGTACCCTTAACCACATTTCCCTACTACGTACCATCTTGTTAAAGATGGTTTGGATGATAGGAAAGGGTCCCCAGTGAATTTGGGGCTTTACTTTGTAATCCCTGTGAGGAGGAATAGGAGAGGGCTATAGTTACCAGTTTCTCTGGTTTCCTTAGGAAAGGAGGGCATATGAACTTTTTTCCCCTCCAGTGAAAACGAAGATACAGTTTGACCCCAGCAGGGGCAGAGCAGGCCCTTCATCCTGGACTGAGTGTCCGTCCAGGCCCTGGTATACAGTCTGGCTCTGCCATTCAGCATGTGATCTTGGGCAAATCACCTTACTTTTCTGGGTTTCCTTTTCCTCATCTGAAAAGCTCTATCATCTCATTGTGTTTTGACTCACAGAAAAGGAGCTGTTGCTCTGGGTGTTCCTTTGGGACCAGGAAAAATTTTTACCACATTTAGTAATTCATCTAGTAACTGCGAAGATGACAGAAATTTAGCACTCCCAGTGGCCTCGTGATGGGACCATGCACTTAAGCTCAGTTCTGCTAGATGACCAGACTGAAATAGGGCCTAGAGGGACTGGGGTTCCGTGGTGCCCCATGACCCCTCAGTGCCATGTGGCAGTGCTAGGTTCCTTGGCTTTTCCTAGAAATGTCACAAAGTAGGAGTGATCCCTCCACTAGAGGGCACAGTGGGAGCAAGCACAGGACAGAAGAGGGAGCTGCGGGACGGGTGGCGACTGGCAATGCAAGATTGGCGACGGACGGTGTCAGGCTCCTTCCCCCGAAAAGAGACCTTCTGGTGCTACAGGAGGGGAGGCAGGCCTCGAGTGCACACCCACTGCCACCCCAGCTGACCCACCTGAGAGCTGGTAAAGAATATAAGCTTTTGTTATCGTCTCCCCGAGGCAGTTAGATTTGATTCCGCTCAGCTGGGGACTGGACTTTTATTTTTTATGAGACCCTCTCCAGGATAGAAGGCAGCGGAGGAAGCGTGCTGACGAGGGTGTCGGGGAGGAAAGTGCTGGGCAGGCCCACTCGCAGCAGCTCGGGACTGTGACAGCGTTCTCTGGGCGGCCTTCTGCACTTTCCCAGAAGTCTCAGCGGAGCATGTCTCCAAGCTCACAGCTCAAGCCTCCTCACCCTCTTCCTGACTCTCAATCAATGGTATATTCAGCTTTGCTTATTGTTAAATAAAGGTTGATTTACTGAACTTTTGGGACTCTGTCAGAATACAGTGATTTATTTGGAAAATAAAATATCCCATTTCTATTTTGCCTTTTGGCTTTTCCTTCACCTTCTCTTTATATTCCTTTACGTTCCAAACATGAAATACAGCCATGTGTTTTCCACGAAAACCCTAGGCTCCGCCAACAGGGTGGTGGATCATTAAATATAGCCAGAGAAGGAAGCAAACTCTTCAAAACAAAGGACGCATGAACCCAAACGTTCCATCCTGCCCTGATCCCTAGGGTATTCTGCTGGCTTAGTTCTTCCTGAAGCCAGTCCAGGATTTCAGGGACTGAGGGGAGTCTGAACTGCTCCTAGCCCAGGGCACCTCTTTCCGCTTTTTCTTATGTTTTCCCCTCCTTACCCAGCGTCACGCACAGAAAAGGCATTAGAAGGGGAGAGAAGAGAGCTGGGTTCTTTCTCCCCAACTTCATCACTTGGTAGGTATCTGTTCGTAAGTCAATCACTTGACTTTTCTGGGTACATCTGAAATGTAAGAGTGTGAACTAGCTGATCACAAAGATCCCTTTCAGCTTTAACATTCTAATTATGAGAGGGCATGGTTTAAAATGTGAGAAAACATGTTTTTGCATATATGCTGTCTGTCAAGTAGAACACTTGAAATCTTCGGCTGGGCCAAAGTTTAGGAGATGAGAGATTGGGCCGGCTGTCCTTATGTGTATGCCACATCACGCCTCTTGCCCGTGCGCCAGGGATGGGCAGCATTCATGGATGCTAGACACTTAATCTATAATACAAATCATACAGGCCAGTGGCATTAAGTTGAATCCACTCAACCTTTCTATCTCAGTGGGTCAGTGCTGGTGATGATGATAGTGAACATTCACTGAGCACTTAACTGTATTCAATTCTCCCAACAATCCCGTGAGCTGGGTTTTGTCATTACTTCCATTTACTAAGTGAGAAACTGAAACTTAGAGAGACGGAGTAACTTGCTCAAGGCCCCAGACCTCGTGAGTGGTAGAAATAGGATTCAAACACAGGCAGTCTTGTTCTAGAGTCTGGGTGCTTAGCCACCATGCTACATGGACTCATCACCTATATTGCTCATTATCAGTTCATAGTGTTGAGCCATCGTCTCCTGAGCTTCTCCAGACCAGAGAAGGATGTCCATTGGTGGGGTGGGCCACACTGGCACAGTTTTATCACACTCTTTTCTCCTCCACTCAATAATCTCTTTTAAACTTGGTTTGCCCTTAGGACGCAGGCCCGAGTGCTTCTTTTATTTTAGTGGATAAGGCTGGTTCAGTGTGCGTGTAGGGGTGATAGGGGTGTGAAGGTGTGGGGAAGTGGGAGAAAGGGGAGCAGGAAGGAAAGAACATGTTTTCTTGGGACTCATCATTGGTCTATTGTAGACTGTAAAGTCACTCAGGTGATTGAGTCCTTAATTTCTCTAGTATAATAAACTGAGACAATTACACTTGCTATCATCTTTTAAAAGACAAGTAAATAAGTGGTTTGTGTCTGCCTGTGTGTATCTGGGGAGGGAGAGGAAGAGGGAGCAGAAGAGAGAGAGAGAGAGAGAGAGAGAGTTATCAAGATGATTTCATAGGTATTTAGATAGATGGCCAGTAAATTTTAACCCCAAATTATCACTGCACACTGGGACCAAATATTCTCTGTGCTGCCCACCAAAACAGTATGATGTGTTAGGGTGGGAGGACTATTTGAAAAAGGAGGGAGAAACAGACACTGAATTTTAAACGTAGTCATTAATGGAAAAATACGGATTTCTCTTGCTTTATACTGTTACAGCCTAAATGGAAAGTCATTGCTATCTTAACCTCCAACCCCTAAATTCCTTACCTTGTTGAGAAAGAATAAGTCTCGTTTGCTCTTGAGGTAGTTGGACAGATTTCCATATTTGCAGTACTCAACAATCACCATGAGAGGACCTGCAACCGAAACAACACAAGCTCAGCCACACCAAGCCGGCCAGCTGTGTGCCAGCCTTCAGTGGGCCTGAGAAACCTCAGACCGACTTGCCTTTATATTCGTGGGGTCTAGAGATGCGACTTAGGGTGGGAATTTTTTTTCAATTAAAAAATACCAAAAGGGTGAGAGGGGGGTGCAGGGCGGAGGAAAATAAAGGGGAAGAAAAAAAATGGGACAACTATAATAGCATAATCAATAAACTATACTTAAAAAATACAAAAAGAATAGGAGACAATTGGGGATTGGGGCTGGGGGAGAAACAGAAAAAAAATAATAAAAGAGGAAAAAGAAGGAACTTTGAGGAGAGGAGGTCCCAAACCAGGGCTCTACCTGTAACAACCAGCCACCTCCTCTGCTTGTTTGCAGGACCCTAGCGAGTGCAGGGGCCTCAGACACTGTCACACCAACCCCAGGACTGTCAAGCAGCCCCTTCCTTCTGTTGTGAAAAGAGTCTGGTTCCGCCTGCCCTGTCTGTGCCCCTCGCACAGCCGCTGGGGGTGTCTGCACAGCCTTTGCCTTGGGGCTTGTAAGAAAGGCTGAAGCAGGGGCCATCAGACTTTTTTGTAAAGGACCAGATAGTAAATATTTTAGGCTTCGTAGGCCATAAAGCTCCTCAGTTATGCCTTTGCAGTGTGAAAGCAGCCATAGCCAACAATACTACCAATTGAAAGACTGTGCTTCAATAAAATTTTATGAACACATGAATTTGAATTTCATATAATTCTCACATCACAAAATATGATTCTTTTGAGTTTTCCCCTCAACCATTTAAAATGGTCAAATTAAGCTCACAGGCTAGACCCATGGTTTGCCAACGACTTCTGGTTGAAAGAAAGCAAAAGAGTCACCAGGACTGTGCTGGTTTAAAAGTGTACATGACAAACCCTGACAGCACCTCCTCTTTCCCTCTGGTTACAGAACAGGAAGTTGCTTCCACAGGTCGTCTGTCTCCCCACCACCTAGGAGAATTCTCTGCCTCTCGGCTGCCTGCCAGGGGTCCAGCAATCCTTGCACTCAGGAGGGGCTTCCATCCTGAAGCCGGCTACTTGGAGCTCAGAGACACAGGCAGAGGCAGGTTCTCTACTTAGCCGTGGTCAGCTTTGATGGTGACTTTGAAGGAGGGTGACCAGAGCCAGGGTAAATGCATAGAAAGAGCTTATAATTTGTCGATACTTGAGGATGACAGAAAAGCAGGCGGGCTGTTTGTGTCCCTAGGACTCCCTAGTTCTGGCCTCCCCAGTGCGCAGCTGCTCCTTCTACCCGCTGTGACTTCCAGACGGCAGGTCTTTCCCAGCTGTCCTTCACCGCTCCTGCCCTTGTTGAGCTTGGAAAACATTTCTATGCACAGGGGCCTTATACCTTTCCTTCTGGCTCAAGCAGCGATCACAGCCAAGCAGTAACCTTGCCATAAGGGAAGATAGAAAGGTGTTCAAGAACGTTCATTCCTTTAGGTGAAGCTTCAAGGAGTATGCGTGCGACCTTCTATGCATTTACTTTAGCTCTGGTCACACTCCTTCAAAGTCACCATCAAATAAAAAATGCCCTCCACTTGACCCTGAGCCTGTGGAAGGTGATCTACAAGATGGTCCTCTTCGGGACCTTTAAGTTAACTGTACAGAGAAGGCATTTCTAGGATGGGGACCTCCTTTTATAGGTGACAAACTGTTTCCTCTGGACCTATTGAAAGGCCATTTTCCGGCAGGCGATGAGCGACAGGGGTGGGGAGAAAGAGCTGCATGTTGGAGAACTCTATCTTAGCATGTGAATGGGGAGATGAAGCATTTACCTCCTTGCTTGGTACAGGCTCCTAGCAGGTTGACTACATTCAGGTGGTGGCCAATGTGAGTCAAGATCTTGAGCTCAGTCATCAGAGCTTTGTACTCGCTGGCTGTGGCCCCCTCTGTGTGAGAAGCAAGGAAGAGTCAAGGTTGAGGGACAATGGGACTCTTTCCACCGGAGGTGGCATCCCTGTCCTCCATGTTTGTCAGTGCTCAAACTGTTGCTTCATTAACTCCCCCGCATTCTGCAGAAAGGCCAAGTCCCAGGACTGTTTTCGCTACTCCCACTCTCCTGAGCCAACATCCTTTTGGCTGCAGTAAGGCCCAGAGCAGTGTTGGGGTAGTCACTGCACATTTCCTCTTTGTGGACCCAGTCCTGCTCAGGAATGCGCTGACTCAGAGCAGGGAGCCTGTGGAAGCGCCTTCCAGGCTTCCCTCCTTCCGAACCTTCCTTCCGGGAAGGGGTGTGGCCACAGCTCACCTCCTTTTCTTAATTTTCCCTGCTTTGAGGAATTACAAAGAGAGAGCACAAGAACCTGCAACAGCAGAATGGCCATTTCTGCAAACATCTTTTCCACGTGTTATTTTCTCCCTCTATATAATCTTTTCTGCTTTGGAAAAGCAGAAAAGTTTTATTCTCAGAGATAAAGAACATCAGTTTAAGAATTAGCAGAGTCTAAAGCCTAAATTAACTTCTGTCTCTTTTTATTGGTTAATTTCTAAGGTATTTAAATACCTTAGAGTTTACTTTTAGAAATAAAAAGTCATATAATCTTACTGTAAAATATTTCAATGGTATGATGTTTATAGAGTAAAAAGTGAAAGCTGGTCCAGCCCACTTAACTTTTTAAAAGTAGCCACTGTTCATCTTTTGGGATTTCAGACCTTTGCATGCTTTTATAAACCTATCTATCTATCTATCTATCTATCTATCTATCTATCTATCCATCCATCTACCCAATCAAATGTCATTTTTATTTACATGAATGGGATTGTATATATATTTAAATATATATATATATATATACATATATTTAAAATTTGCCTTTCCTCCTTCTTAATATATCAGAGGTTCTTTCCACTTTTTAAAGTTGGTTTATGACATTCCTAACATTTAGACTATCCACAGTTTTGGGGGTTTTTTTTTGCCATTACAGATAATGCTGTAATAGGCAGCCTGTGTGTAGCCTTTGTACACATGTGTATTTCTGTAAGATGGTCCTAGAATAGGTCAAAGGGTATGCATTTAACATTGTGGTAGATACTGACATGGTATTTCATAAGCACAAATCATTTTTCATAATAATTAGATAAACTTTGGAAGCCTCCCAGTGAAGTTGGGAGTGGCTCACAGAAAATGCTCAACAAATATTTATTAGATAAATAAACAACATGGTTACTCTTCTCAGACATGGGCATAATGCCCCAAAAGGTTAAACGTTTTGCTCAAGGGCATTTTGAAAAAGCTTCTGGCTCATGGCCTTTGTTTGACATTCTGCCTTTTCAGTTTCTCCTAGAAACAGATGGCCAACCAATTTAACAAGAGAGCTGAATGAAAATAGTTTTTAGGAATTTTATATAGTGGATGATTTGGCAGTCTTTTTCAACCAAAGCTGATGGCTTAACAAAAAAGTATTTATAAAGATAGTACACATACCATTTCTGTCTTATATAGAGTCGATTCTTTGGGCCTTTAAAAAAAGTCTCAGGTCAGAATTTCCCTCCTCAGGCTCATCATTCCCTCCGTGCGTTTATTTGTACCCCTTTAACACAGCCTATGCGCCTGTCTCAGAGGGTGGGATTAAGCAGGGAAATGGGACCAGCTGAGGAAGCAGATGCTTCCAGATTAAGTTTGAACAGGCAGGATCATCTTCAGGGTTTTGGAGCAACAGGCATTTCCAGGAAGCACTGCTCTCAAAGCTAAAAGACTTGCACTCAAACCCTTACTTCTACACTGGGGAGCTGCGTGGCCTTGCAGAGACGGTTTAACCTTTCTGGGCCATATTTCTTCATCTGGGGACCAGGACAATAGTATCTACCTCACAAGGCTGTAGAGGGAAAATTAAGAAAATGGCGATTTCAAGTGGTTCACCCTAACATACTAAAGCACCTAGTCTGGTGCTTTCTCACACAGAAAACATGTTGATGCCTCTTCTCTTCAGAATCTGGGCTGGGGGTGTACAGGGTGGGGTGTTGGAATGTAAGTATTCTCATGGAAATCCTTCCATCGCCTGGGTCTTCCGCCTTAAACAAAAGTCCTGACTTGTGGGTGCAAAACCTCTTTCTTGGCTACTTTCAGAGTAGAACTGTCAGGTTCTTTGTATAGTTTTATCAAAGCTTTCCTTCCAAAAGGACAGCCTTTTGAGGTGGAAAATACCATTACACGACACTGTGGTGGTGATGGTGTCAGGGCGGGAAGAAGATGAAGAGCCTTGAGGTCTCCTCAAGCAAATGGCCCTTTTTCTCCTGGAGGCTTTTGCTGGGAACCTGCTTAGCTGGGTGCATGGCTTCCAGCGCCTCAGAATCCCCTAGCAATATCTTGGAGACTCTGGAAAGCTGAAAACTGCCCTTTGGGTTTTCAGTCTGTTTCTTTTGATTTGGGGACTTTAAAATGCACTGAAGTAACATGAAAATTCCACCATAAATAAGGAAGTGAACATTTTCTGAACTTCAAAGGACCCATGAGTCTTTGATTCGTTTGGTCTACATAATTTTCACTTTCGATAGGCCTTGTGGTGGTGGTCATATCTCTGGATTTGGCTCTGCCCCCCAGCACTTCACACTAGAAAGATAATTAGTTGTTGTTGTTGTTATTTTCTAAAGAGAAGATGTTTTATGGCTGGGACTTGACAGTATAAAATAGTTTAGGGTTTTGATCATTTCAGTTGTTTTAGTTTCATAGTTTTACTTTATAGTTAGGCTAAGCCTTTGGGATTTATTATGTACAGTTAAGTTTCCATTATAATGTCATAATGGGTCATTTCAAAAGTTTGAACCCATGGTTCCCATGGGCTTAAGTCCCTGATAGTCTAGAGCCCGAGATGTGTTAGGAGAACTATCTTCGAGGTGACAGAAATCATTTTCCCATAGACCACGCTGATTGTTTCATTAACAAGATGTATTCTGAACTCTCACTGTCCTAATCTTAGACTCCTGAAGTAAAGGGAGTCCCAGCAGTAGAAGAAAGTTATGTGGCCAGAGCAGAAACAGCTTGAATCTGTTTCTAGGCTACACCCAACTTATCTCAACATGTAGGAAATGTAATGGGTCAGTTGAAAGCCAAACCACAGTGTCCTTACCTTTCAGCATTTTTACAGCCACAGTCCGGCACGTGGGTGATTTCTTAATGCCAAATGCAGATGCTTGTACCACTTTTCCAAAAGCCCCTCTTCCAAGTGATTTGCCTACAATAAAAATGATAACACTGATTTGTATGCCAAGCCAGTAGAGTGAGTTGAACTCTTTTTCAGGAAGGAAGTGCCATTTTTTCCTATGGGGGCATGTGAGGCATGTAGTTTTGAATGGGATCTCCAACGAGCTGACCCCAAAAGAGTCAAAGTAAGGGTCATATTTCTGAAGTATCTTCTTTCCGACTCTTTACTCTGTATCCACGACACCCTCATTCTTCACAGCTGTGCCAGGCCCCTAGCAGACCAGCACACTTTGGTGCAAGTGGATGGCCAGTTTCCTTTTCACAAAATCCTCCTGGAAGGGGGAGGCCACCAAATCCTGAGTAGTCTCTTCCATTGCTAATAACATTATTAATAAGAATATTTCCCTGTGTTTAATATAGGCCCATTTTCTTGCCACTTAAGGTCATTTCTTTTGATCTGTTTTCAGCAGAAAGTAAGAAATTGAGAATGTAAGTTATTGCTATTGGTGATAATAATGCTTCATAGATTAAAAATAATAATAACCATCAAGTCATTTCTCTGACTTCCTTGCCAGGCAAAATAGCCCCAGTATTTCTACCGTGTCTTCACATGATGATTATAAGTCTTCCTGGTTCAGCACATCAGTCTATCGGCCACTGGCAGTAATTGTTTCAACCGCAGGGAGGTGGTTGCCATGCCATAACGAAGCAAGGTTTCTTTCGTGGCACCCGTTATGTAATGCTACAACTGTTTGCAGGCTTCTTTCCTCACCCTTGCAGGAGACAACTTGACTGAGAGGAGCAAGGATCACATCTGAATCTTCCAGAACCTACTGCAGTGCCTGGTGCATAGAAGGGCCCATGAGATAGAGACCTTGAGCGTGATGTTCTGTGAGGAGGGCATCCTCTGGGCAGCCTTAGCTACCTTTTGTAAGGAAGTCCCCTGGGACTTCCTTTTGGCTCACCAGGAAATAGGGAGCTAAGTAGAACCTAGAGCAACATTTCACCTCAAGCATGATACGGCAAAAGGAGTGAGCCAAGAAGTCACTCCTCTTGGTTCTTCTGCGGGGGAAAAGCCAACAAAATGCCTCTGGTCAAATGTTAAGTCCCGGTAGTTACGAGTGTTGATTTAATACAACACCTGCTCTCCCAAGCAAGTCCTCTTTCTCAGACTGTTCTGATAAGGCCTCAGTTAGTTAGCTGTCTTCCCTCCCTCCCTCCCTCTGTCCCTTCCTTCCTTCCTCAGTCCCTCATACTCCAGTTCCTTCCCCCAAAGGACACTGTTTTTTAAGATTTTTAAAAGTTTATAATGAAGCTTTTCTGCCACTTCACCATATTAGAATCTTTATACTTTTACTGCACAATTTCTCAGTAACAAAGATGTCCTTACCCTGCCTCTGTCTAGTGTCTTCCATTACCAACCACCCTAGGCATCCAGGTCGGACACACAAAGAGCTCAGCTACCAAGGCAATCATATGAGCCTCCTTACAGCAGTCTCTGCATCTACCTCACAGGGAATCACGCTGCCTTAGGAAGGCAGCACTGATGGGATCACATGCTTTGCCTCTGGTCACACACACACCTGAGTGACTGATGAAGATCATTCCTCTCAGAGCACACACCATGGCCTGGGATGTAGTCAGTGCTTCCTTCTTCAGATAAAATTGTCTGAGATACAGACCAACAGGGGGACTGTTAGTTTACACAGAAGAACCTCCAGAGGTGGAGATCATGTATGGGGAGAGCACTGGCAGATCCCTCCTTCAGACTTGTAAAAATTGCTGCATTTGATCTCAGGTTTATTCCTTGTTTTTGTTTTTTTGGTTGTTTTTTTTTAGGGTAAAAGAACAACATTTTCTTTTTGAAGTGCCTCCTTCTACCATCTAGTATGAAAAGTGTCCTGAGTCTGAGAAGTAGTAAGACTATCTCTGTCTCAGGACACCTCCCCACACGCTACAAAGACTCTTGCTTGTTTGGGGCAGATGGAGTCCTTTTCCTTCCACACGCCAGCCCCCGTGCATTCCCTTTGTAGCCACCACAGGACCTTTGTTTTAACCAGCACTTGGAGACTTTGTTTCTGTCAGTGAGAATCAATTCATTTTCACTTGGCTTCCTTCAGTCTTTCCCTTTTTTCTCTTAGAAGCTGACTGCTGCCTCGCAGAACAGCATGAAGCTATCGTGGGCTCCTTAACCTTCTGGAGTCCTGCACCGGAGTCCTTTGGCAGACCCACAGCTCCAGTGCCAGTGGCGCCTAGTCACACTGGACTGGAACTGCCTGATCCTCCTTTTCATTTAAAGTCTTCCTTGGTGTTACCCAAATGCCACTAGCTAGTTTGGAAAAGTGCTAGGTCATTTTCATACAATGAAACGATATTGGAATTTCTCCCAAGAATGACTGGCCAGGGTCCCTGGGAAGATCTGGGGACCCGGTGTGGCAGCATGGGGCTCGGCCCCTCTCTGGCACCCACGGCCGGCAGCATCAGCCCAGGCAGCATCCAACTGCCAAAATCCAGACTGCCTGTGTTGTTTCCGATATTTGCTAATTCTGGCTTTATTTTCCAATAGAAAGGGGCAGTGTCAGACATTTATAAATTTATAGGAAGGCAATTTTCTCTGAGGTTTAGGGAGGAATCACTAACAAAATAGATTTCTTTTGTTACTGGACTTTAGGAATTTCAATGGTAGCAACACCTTTGACTCAAGCTTCAACTAATCTAGCTATCAGGTATTGTAAATTCCCACTTCTCTGCACAGGGCTGATAGTAACCCACTGAGTGCAGACAGCTGAAATCAGAAGCAGCTTGGTCTGTGCATTTCCTGTGCATTTCTCTACATTTATAACCCCGCTGTACTCTGTCCATCAAACCTGCCTTTTCTTCCCATCTGTCCAGACATAATCTTGGTTACTCTCACTTGCCAGACTGCTTCAGATTTCTTTGTCATTTATTTGGCTTAAAACAAACAAACAAATCTTGGGCCTCTTTGCTCCCGTTAGTTAGAGGAGAATTTCTCTGGCCCTTGCAGACACACTCTGCATTGAAAGACTTAGCTGACTTGCTACACTTCCTCTCGCTCACCAAAGACACTCACATGTACATGAGCCAAATCATAGCATCTGACCACTCTGGGAAGAACCATGAGAAAGCTCTTCTACAAGGAGAATCTCCTAAAATGGGACTATCTAAATCCACAGCGCCCCAGGGGAATTCTGGTAGAAGGATTAGCAATCTTCCTGGATGTGTTCTGGATCACAATGACACTAGGCCAAGGAATGAAGAAATGGGATGGAAAGCTCACGTGTCCTACGCTGGAAGGAGCACACTTGATTGTGACTAATAACTCTGGAAAGCAACGTGGCCTGAGAATGGCTTATGGTTGTGGGAAAACTACCTCATGTCCTGTGCCAAGGTCACTGAAGGGGCTTGGCCAGCTGCCATATAATTTAGACTTGCAGAAGGAACTCATCTAGTTGCCACCTGCCCTTAACTACTCTAAATTTGGTTGATTTTCTTTCCTGTCAGCAGCCATTAATGGCTTTTGTCTGCCTCTCCAGCTTTTTTACTGATTTCTAATTTTCGTCTTCAAGCCAAATAGAACATACTCTTGGGGCCAAGTCCTCTTTCTCATGTAGAAGGAAATGTAAGTGGAATCATTTCAAGGCCCGACAGAATGAGAAAAGCTACTCTTCCTCTCCGTTGCCTCACACCTTCACCTCCATATAGTCAGAGTGTGGGAGGGAGAAAGGAAGGGGGGCCATGCCACTGAATTTGGAACAACGGGCCCTCTACACTGAGTGACAAGTTCTGGGGACACCGGATGCATGATCTCTTTTCTGAGATCCAGCTACTAATGACCCTGGCATGCATAGGAGTGAGTGGAAAACCTTCAGAGCCACAATCCAAATATTTTAAGCAGGAGTGATTGAGGGACCCATTGTTTTGTAGCAACTGGGCTGGAGATTAATTTGCACTGTGGTGTTCAAGCTGGAGCAACTTGGGGGTAAACTGAGGGAAAGCACATTTGCCTGGTGTTTATAGCACCTGTGTTACCTGGAATACAACAGTCTTTGCTTTTCAAAAGTGAAACTTGGCTCTGACCAGGTGGCTCAGTTGGTTGGGGTGTTGTCCTGTACACCAAATGTTGAGGGTTTGATCCCTGGTCAGGGCACATGAGGGAGGCAACTGATTGATGTTTCTCTCCCTCTCTTTCCCTTCTCTCTCTCTCCAATCATTAAAAACATATTCTCAGATGAGGATTAAAAAAAAGAGTGGTCTTGACACATATGGAAATTAGGGGATGGAAGGGTGTTTTTTTTTTAAAGAAACTTAAATGAATTCCTAGGGCTTTCAAAGGATATAAAAGGTGGGTTTGTGCAAAGCAATTTTTGATCCACAGCCTTGAAGAGTACCAACTCTTTCCCCAAATGTTTGATTTTGTTGTTCCTCATCATCCTGAATTGTGTTCCAGGTCATAAGTTTCTGACTCCTCAAAAATGTCATTATTTAAGAGTGCCTGTACTTGTCAGGCTCCTGATGGAACTAGCCTCTCCTCCTTTTCTTTCACTGTATACTTTTATGGTGATCTCCTTAGAAAGAAGAGATCTAGACACCTTTGTGTTTGCTGCTCAGAGAAGGTGCTTGGTAACTGTTGAAAGAACGTGCAGGTGTTCCTTGTCCCCTGGCTGTCCTCTCAGCATTCTCATAGAATCCTGTGCCTCCATGTCCCTCTCCCTTGCCAGGTTGTGAACAGCCAGGGGGGAGAATCCCAAGTCTAGTCTACTTTTGTGTCCCTCAACGCAGCCTTTTGCATGTAGTAGGTTCTCATTATGGGTTTAGGAATCTGTTGAACAAATATATTACCCAGTTTAAGTCTCTCCCGGGCAAACTCCCACTTGCTGGCATCATACGGGAGCCGCTCACACTGCTCATCCAGGGGAACTTCGTCTGGGTCCATTATAATTGACAGGTAGTCAGTCTTTATTTCAGAAGAAGACTGAAAAATGAAAAGATCTCAAGGTCATAAATAAGGAAACAACTTTGAAATCTCCTGATATCCAATTTAAAACAATACTTGGCAACATCTGTTGCTATTTTGGTTCCTTATGTTAAAACCACATGGTCAGGTATAGAAAGTATCCCTCAGCATACGTATGCACATCACACCTGAGCATGTGACGTCTATTAAACAGCCTTCACTGTCCCACCCTGCATTTCTGGAGTATTATCTCAGACAAAGTGCACTCAACTTCTCCAGCAACCTTATTGTTTGTTCTTAAACAGTTAGCATATGATTAGCATAGTCCTCTAAAAAATGCAAAGCATTTTATAAAATCATTCCAAACAATGACTAAAAATGACTTTCCATGGCCATTCTGTGTAATCAGGAACACACACACACACACACACACACACACACCCCACAGCTGGGCTAATAGTGGTTCATGATTGTGGCTTCTCGACATTTGCAAGAAAGGCCAAAGCTGGCGAAGTAAGCCCAGGGTCCTTCCCCGGGACAGTCTAGAGGCACATTTCATATGAAGTGTTTAAATATACTCAGAAGGCCTGGCGTTTAGTTACTGTAGCTGTCTGTAAGACTGTGAGGTCCATTAGTGAGAGTAGACTAGGATTTACCTTCAGTAAGAAATTGGAATTGATTATTTCAAATACCAAGGAGTAAGACTTATACACAGCAACATTCATCCAAGTTCCTTTGACCATTGGTAGGACGTCAAGTGAGCAAGGTGGACATCTGGCTTCACGTGCTTGTTCTATCTTGGTCACGCAAATCAAGCCCAGAAAATACCCTTTATTTCAGATCATAAATAACTGGATTTACATTTAGTGTCTTAGATTCATATCCATGGGTGTGTCTGTCCTTTTAGTTAGTTGTAGAATTGACTGCATTTCTGTGGGCAGCGCAGAAAGGAAGTCTGCTTACCCATATAAGGTGGGTTTTGATAACTCTTGTCAGAGTTATGTAAACTTCATTTAAATGAGTTTTAGAGCCCTTCCTTTCAGGGTCTCCCTCTCAACCAGATCGGAGTTCAGTCGAGAAGACAACCTCTCCATACACACCATTTCCCACCCACCCACCCACATTCTTCAGTCCTTACTCACCCTGTTCTGGGCTGTCACAGCTCACCTCATCCATCACTTGCAATCAGTCTCTTTCTCACAAAAATTATCACTAAAATGTGTGACACATAGCTCAAGGCAGAAAGATTTTCCTGGCCTCCACAAAGAATGGATAAACAGAGAAAGATCTGGAGCACGTTTGTCACAGACTGCATTTGCCACATGGGTTCGACTGCGAGGGCCCAGCCTGTCAGACACAGTGTGTGTCTGCAAGACGGGAGGGGAGTTTAAGCCCCTGTGCCAGGGCACACGTGTGGCGGAACTTCTCAATGTCCGATATAGCCAGGGCTCTGAGGGGCAATCTCTAGTCTCCTGAGAACACAGGGTTGCCGAGCCTGGCAGGGACATCTGGGGTTCTGCAGGATGCGAGGGGAGGTTGGCAGTGGTGTTGATGGGCCGGGGAGCAGGCCATGGAAGGCACTCTCCTCATGTGTCACCTGTGGAATTTTATGGTTTGTCTCAATAAGGCAGATGAGAGGAAACACCAAAAAAAAGGCTTTGAGGAGAGTGTGGTAGTAGAATCTCAGCTGTCACCTATTTGCTCTTTTAATTGCCATTAACACTGAACAACCTTGAGGTGCTTGGCATGAAAATTGCACATCTCAGCTTGTCAGTGCCCAGGCCTTGAGGCTGGCTGCCTGGATTGGAATCACAGCCCAGCTTCTGACCAGCACAGAACTCAGGACAAATTGCTTAACCTTTCGAAGCCTAGTGTCCTTATCTTTAAAATAGTGATAAAGATGGTACTTATCTCACAGGGTTGTTGTGAATATCAAATGAAATAATCCATGTAAAGCTGTTAAACATCAATAAATGTTGGATTACAATTATAACACTGGCTCATACAGGGTGGGGACAGAAAGATAAAGTAGCCTTTATCAGTGATGAATTTACATTGTGGTCAGAGAAACCACATGGAGATAGTTTTTGATGCCTTTTTCCTCTTTGCCTCCCACAACCAATCACTTGTCAGATTTTATAGGCATTCCAGCACTTGCTCTTATCCTTTCCTATTGATGCCAAAATGGCATAGATTTTTAGAAATATAAGAGACCCACTTAGTTTAGGCCCAGTTTGCCTTTCCAGTTTTATTTCCACTCTGTTCCTGCAGACAAAGTCACTGGACTCCCTCCCTAACCTGGGGACTGGGGAGGAGCAGGAGGGCTGTGTTTTTCTGCCTCTTTCCTTCCAGCAACAGCCTTTAAAATCTGTCTCTAAACTTTGCTTTCTCCGAAGTTTTTTCTCCCACTCTCCTCTTTGAACTCCTATAGTCTCTGTACCTCCTCTACAGATTTGGCAAGTTGTTTTTTGTTAGATTTTTTTCCCTATATGATGTATCTCCCCTTTCAAATGCTATTGTTTGACCTGTTTCCTTCTAAAGTAGTGTTCTGAATTGTCCTGTCTCAAAACCAGTCACTCCACAGAGCAAAAGCTTATTACGTATTCAACGTAGAGGATGGCTGCTGGCCTTGCTTCTCACAAGCAAGTTTTGAATATCCAGTCTAAGGTCAAACGAGTAGGCTTCAAAACTCAGCTCCAACTCTGCTTAGCAGTGTGACTACGCAGAAGTTACCTTGATTCCCGGAGCCTCTGTTTCCCTCTCTATAAAGTGGTAATAATAATATATTTACCTCTGCATTTTTTGAATGACTAACTGAGATACTACATAAAAAGCTTTCCACAGGCTTGGTAGATTAATAAGGGCTGACAAATGTCTAGACATTGAGTAGGCCTCTTTGAGTAGGCTTCTTCAGGTTTTCTTGATTTTACCCCCTAAATATCTCCTGACTCCAATCGTTTAGACTAAGCTGCCACCATCTCTTACTCAGACTACTGTCGAGCCCTCCCCTAGGTGCCTCTCAATTCGCTCTTGCCCCTCCGGTCCATTCACCTCACAGCAGCCAAAATCGTCATCGCAGACACAAATTTCTCACACTTAGAATTACCTACCTTTGCTTTACAACCTGCTCCAAGGCTTCCTATTACCATCTAGAATACAGACTAGATTCCTTCCTATAGCCTAAAGCCCTGCCTGATCAGGCATGGCAGCCTTTCCTCTCCTCTCCTGCCACACACACTTCATGCCTTGTTTCCACCACTGTGCCAACGCTGGCCTTCTGTCAGCCACTCATTGTCACGGTGTCCCTCTGCCCTGCCCCTGCTTCATACACACTCCTCTCCATCTGCAACACTTTCCTTCCTTCTTTACCTGGCCACCTGCCCCCTCTGCTCCAGTCCAGGGTATCTTCTAGTCAGCTCACTGCAGTTACACTTTGCATTGCACAAGTGTACCTGATTAAAGCCCCAGACTGTACATCGTAGCATTTGTTATCCATTGTCATCAGAGAGCCCCACAGGGCCTGGCACTCTGCATAGAGCAGGCTTGTTACAGGGTGCAGCCAAGAGGGAGGATCCCAAATAGGCATTTGAAATGGGGTCCAGAACTTAAGGTGTCCAGGAGATTTTAAGATGTCTTCACCCCTTCCCCCACAGGTGTGAGTTGGGGGAAGGGGCACACAGAGCAAGAACATACAGGGCAGCTTTGCAGCTAATCCATGGCGTGGTCATTTAACATACCTATAGCCTTTGGCTGGTTGCTTAAATATGCTAAATAGCTATGACCAGGCTCAAGGCCAGGGGGATGGAAAGGGATCTCCCCCCAAGATGGGACTGGGGGGGGCAGGTCCCCTGAGTTACAGTGCCTGTGTGGGAGCTGGGAGAAGATTGGCTCCATGACATGGGGTGACACCTGCCCAGACCCACGATGGTGACCAGAAAAGCTGGAGAAGACAGCAGATTGAGGGCGAGTGTGCCCGAGTGTAGGAGGAGTTGGAAATGGGGCTGCAGAAGAAGATTGGCGCGGGGATTTAAACCCAGACACGGCAGCCATTGAAAGAGAACCACGCGGCCTGGACAGAGTGGGGACTCCCGTGGCCCTGGGAGAGCGGACCACGTGCCTTTGCCAGAGTGGGGACCCCCGCAGCTTTAGAAAGGGGAACCACCACCTGGTTTTAGCAGAGATCCTGGCGACTCAGCGGAGGGTGCCGGGAACCCAGGGAGGTCTCCCAGTCGAGATGGAGTACTAACTGGGAAGAACCAGAGGACTGCCTGAGCCATGGACTTCTATTTCCTTTCCTGAGATACGGTACTCTGGACTGGGCAAAGGGGGAAGGAAGGAAGGACTGTGTCTGTTTGTGGGTGTTTTAAGGGACTTTAGGATTTTTGATAAAGATATTAGGTCACTACTTTAAGTTTGTATAGCATTAAATAAACATTTCCTTTCCTTTTCACGAATCTCTGGCATTGAGAGACGTCTTTCCTTGGGTGGCGGACATGAAGGACCTGGGTTTTTTTTTTTTAAATAATAGTATATCATCCCAGGCCCCCCCTTGTTTGTTCTGTAACAGGCTCACAGTTAATATTTAAGGCACAAATAAGAGAATTAGTGTTGGCTCTTTCCTCACTGAATTTCAGAGAAGCTCTCAAGTCATACTATAGACCAAATTGTAGAAATCTGATGTCCCAAATTCCAACCTGAACCTCACACTCTAGAGAACGGGATTTTACCACAGCAGTGCACGTCTCTGTGTTTCTGTATTACGAGAGACAAGTCAGAGTGGTGTCTTTGTTTTGCTTTTTCTTTTTGTTTTTCAGCAGAGAATGAGGTTGAGAAAATTAAGGCTTCATAGGTCTTATGCTAAATTTAATTTAAATACTTTACTACATATTTTTGTATCAAAAATATCCTTCATGTCCCTAGGAAATATTCACCTGTTCATTGCTCTAGCATTTCCTTTTGAATGCCCCACTTTATGTTTGAAAGACATTTTTATTATTCATTTTCCAGTGCTCACCAGGTCAGAGGTAAAGGGAAGAAAAGGGTCTAACATTTATTTAGTGCCTGTCCCAGACATCAGGTGAGCATTTTAGGATATTATGTAAAAAGGAGCACAGAACTTATCTGAAATATCCTTACCCTCTTCAGTTTTCGGATAAAGAGAGTTAGGAGGAGCCAGAAGAGGGTTGCAGCCACACAGGTGCACGTCAGAGTGATTAGCTCCAGATTTGACTTGTCCGAGGCTCCTGGAAAGACAAAAACACCAAGATGGTGCTAAACACCAGCTCTCAAGCGCAGGCCTTTGTGATGTTATAACAGAGGTCCATTGCCCCTGAAAGGTTCCCCATGGTGGATGCAGTCTGCTGGCGCAAGAATTAGTGTCTGGGATAGATCTTCTCTTTCCTTCTGATTCAGGCAGGATCCACAAATGATATTATCATAATAAACTCACAAACCAATTAAAAGTCTTTCCAGAAATGTAGCTATTGAGATCGTAAACTTCATAACCCCAGAAATAGTTAATTAAAAATCAGAGGAGAAATTAAAAATGGGGGAAAAGTTATGCAGGAACAAAAGCCCATTAAAGTGCTAAATCTGGGATATGTTAAATCTCCCTAATGGCTTTAGAGGAAATTCTAAAGAAAAAGAAAAATATTACATAAAAGAGTTCCTTTGGGACTCACAAAATTCTTCAAAGTAGATTTAAAAATAAAACGAAAACTCGAGGCCTATCCCAGTTGCCGGCTCGCTGCTTCAGGAACCGCCAGGCCAGCTCGCTCACCTCACGGGTCCCATGGCCAGGGCTGGTTCTGACCTTTCCAGCAGTCCGCCTGCAGGGGCTGAGGTGAGAGGAGGTAACCGCTCGAGTGGGATTCTTCCCCATCACCTCATTTCCCAGAACCACAGAGATAAAAAGCTGAGTACTGTTCGCTCATGACCACGAAAGAAAAGATCCAAACATTCACCAGAAGCCTCCAGAGAGGAAACTCTGGGACCTGTAAAGGAAGGCCCAGAGGCCAGAATAGTGTTTCCCTACTTATTGCCTCCAGTGGACAATTTCCTAGGAATCTCTAAAGCAATACCTGTATCCTTCAACTGCATTAAAAGAGGCAGAGGCTCTTTCTTCTGTCTCTTTTATAGAGTTAGTATAAAGTTAGGCCAAGACTAAGTGAAACTCTTTTTAGAAATGATGGTGTGGATGGTGTCATTTATTGAGCCACACTCTCCTCGTCACCCTATGAAGTGGGTGGCAATAACATCCCTGTTTCCTAGATGAGTATGTCCTCTCATTGGCTCTTTGTTTCAGTTCAACGAGGTTCCAGGCTGGAGGACGCAGGAAGATAAGAAGGGAAAGCCATCCCTTTCAAAGCACTCTCTCACAAACTGAACCCAGAGACTTAAGGCAAATACAAAGGAATTAGATAGAAAGAGTATCTGAGATTGAGGGAATCTAACACTCTTTGGAAGAGGTGACATCTGAAACGGACTTGATCTAAGAAGATACAGACAGGAGAGGGCATTATAAGGCAGAGGGAACAGTATGAGTTAGGACCCAGAACTCGGAAATGATAGGGGATTGATGGCAGTATAATGTAAGACCTAGGACAGGACCAGGCCACAGACAATCTGAGATCTGTATGAAGGTTCTCTGCCCTGAATAATGGCAAATACTCAAGCTAGAATTCCTTCTTCCCTAGTATACATTCAGCCTCTACTCTCTGTGGGCCATAGTCCCTGCAGTGTATTGTTTAGTTTGCAGAGGAAACTGACATTTTCTCTCCATCCGGTCCATCACAAGTTTTGGCTCATGAAGTTATCGCCACCTGTTCTTGCTCACAATCACTGCCTGAATCAAGGCCTCCTCAGCTCTCACCTGGACACCTGCATTAGCTTCTTAACGACCTCAACTCCCCCAGTCTCTCCTCCACTCTGTAGCCAGGGTCGTCTTCCCAAATCACAAATTTAATCCTACCACTCCTCTATCTAAATTCCATCTTTGCCAACCTCGCCCTCCGTCACTGTCAGGATAAAAAAAAAATCTTTCAATCCTCTATACCCAACCTATTCTATTGCTTCAGCTTCATCTCCTGCTACCTTCCACTTGCTCCAGTCACACCAAGATACTTGTAGTTTTTTAAATATGCCAGCCCTTCTGTGTCATTATTCTTTGGCCTTTGCTGTTTCTCTACCAGATTGTAAGCTTCCCAGAGGCTGAGGCCACATCTTATTCATCTGTACATCCCCACTCATCTGATTGGGTGAACTAGTGGATGTATAATGTTTTGTGTTGGGAACCGCCCTGACTGGTATCAGAGGCTGAAACCCCCGCCTAGGCTAAAGCTAAGGGAACGCCCTTGGAACCGTGAGCCAGCAAGGAGACAAAAGCTTGTCTTCCTGGCAGGAATGCTGCTTCTGCTGCTTTATTCATAACTGAACCCCAAAAGCTTGGTCGGTTAGCCAAAGACGGGTAAGATTCCCCACGGGGGGAACGACCTAAGCCAGGCACGATCACTTTTGGGAGGCCCCCCCCAAAAGAAGGACTTGGGGGGCTGCAGCAAAAGGGGGGTGATGGACCCTCACTCCTCGGCTTTGACATAGCCTGAGTTCTCAGCGTCTGGGAGAAAATCTCCTTATCTCTCGGTGGCCTTAGTTCCCTTGCTCCACCTAAGCCTGAAACAATGACAGGGTAGTACAGCTCGGTACTGAGAAGTGCGGATTTCCCAGGGGTGATCAGGCCTAAGAAAGAACATGTAAATTACTGTGAAACCTCCTTTGTTTAGAATGCTCTCAGTTGAATGAGAAGGGTCTTAGGAGGAAGTTAGTTTGTTCCTCAGTCTTACAGCTCTTTGACCCCAACTCAATAGACCGGCAGAGTTCTTTGTTTTCTATAGTTCCTTACTTCCCCTAATGAGTACTGTACTTTACCTGAATTATTATGCAGCATGAGCCCAATAAAAGCAGGTATGGACTGTAAATCGGCGCGCTCCCCACTAGGGGGGTGGCCATTTCGTCCCTACTTCCCCACAGAAACTAGTTTGTCTCTGTGCATGTTTTTTTCTCGCGTGTTTATCGTCGAGCCATCCACAGCGTTCCGTGGTCACTGCTGGCCGGTGACCCACGCGCAACAGTTTTGCTTTGTCTCCAAAGAGTTTCATGACGCTTTCAAAGCATTCAGGGTCAAATTCTTATTCATGTGTGTTAATCCAGTAAATATAGGAAAGCGGCTTATATTCCAGGTTCTGTTCTGGGTGCTGGTGTACAGTGGTGAATGAAAGGGCATGGTCTGGAGCTCAGTCTGGTGCTCATATCTGAACTGATGACTATGTTCCGGGTTCAGGGTGAAGCAGCAGAAGCGGACTGTAGGAGTGTGGTCCTCTAGTTCACTGCTACCTCTCAGTATTAAGAATTGAGTTCCTGGCATGCAGGAGGCATCCTTCAAGTATTGGTTAAGTGAATAAATGAATTTGGCTCCATTTGCTGCTTAGTCAGCTTAGGGTTGTTTTCCTGAACCTCGTGAGATTGATTGAGAACAGCCTCCTTGAAGAACTTTCAAAGTATGACCACCTTTTTTCTCAGTATGCATCCTTTCCATGGGGATATGCTAAGCTCAGGTTAATATAAGTTTGAATTTTAGCCCCAACAGGGGCAGGTCTGCTGCTGCTGTACACACACGCACACACATGCAGAGAAATGCACACACACTTCTTTGCTTGTGATGCAAGGAAGTTTTGTGGAATCTGATTGGGACCTGCTGAGGGCACAATGGCCTTTGGCCTTTGGAGATGCTGATAGCATCTCGAGTCTTGGCCTGTCTGCATAAAACCTCTGTGGACACCTCCTGCATGGAGTGCCCTGAGAGAGGCTCCCTCCCATTGTGGGAACGTTCCTGCTGCATTCCATGGGGCAGGAAGTTGACCCCAAAGTAATTCCATAGTCCTTACTCAGACAAAATTCCATATATGTTTGTGTGTACTTACACATTTAAAGAACCAGCTCATTAAAAACATCTTCAAGAACATTTATTAAAAGGAAAAGATCTATTTAATGTATTCCTGCTCACTGAATACTATGATAAGAATTGTATAAGATGTAATGTAGTATATATGCTCGTTCTCATTTGATAGCTTGATCTCTGTCTTTATTTGGAAAGTAACCATCAGGATGACCTTAGGCTGGGTAGACTGACTAAAATCAGCAACATCTCTTCCTATACAGCTCTTGGATGTTTGCTCAGAGGTCAAGCATCCACACACTAGCCTGACTAGAGCCAGCTTCAACTTGCTGGTGACAGCTGATGAGTTCAGTGCATGAAACAGCCCAGCTGCACGTGGCAGGGGAAAGGAGGCCAGCGGAAGTGTGGGTGGGATTTAACAGTGACTGGGAGTTCACTTAGGCTCTCAGGAATGTCAGGCCCATATGATGTGTGGTTCTACATTGGTGTAATTTTTTCTAAGGCTTATTGGAATATTAAAATTGGTCTTCATACTATTTTTGAAGCTTTATAGGAATCTATGTACACCAATTTGGAATCCCTATTAAGGAGAATGATGTATGGAGATACTGTATTAAGATTAAATTTGAAGTAAATTTTCAAGAGTAATTTTATTTATTTATATATATTTTAAAGATTTTATTTATTTTAGAGTAGAAGAGAGGGAGTTAAGAGAGGAAGAGAAACATCAATATGTGGTTGCTTATCACACACCCCCTACTGAGACCAGTGCTCAGTGGACTGAATCATACCAGCCAGGGCTCAAGAGTAATTTTAGGTAAAGATATTTAAAATTTCTCTTATGTGCCATCAGTTCTATATCACACTTTTATTGTGGCAAATTAAATCCTTAGGTCAAATAGAAATTTTGCGGTTTGGAACACCATTTTGGTGACTTACTGGTTAAGTCTGGGAAAGCCATAGTATAAAGGTTTTGTTGAAATAGGATTTGGTGTATCATTAAAAAATAATGATGTTAATTAATATTTCAAAAGCTTCTATTATGTGCTAGATAGTGTTTTAAATGTGCTCATCCTTACCACAACCCTATAAGTTGGAGTACCACTATCAACATACATTTTGTAGGTGAGCATACTGAAGCACCAGGAAGGTACCATATTTTTCAGACTATAACATGCACTTTTTTTCTCTCCCCCCAAATTTGGGAGGAATAATGATTGTTAATGCTGCTGTTGAGTTCTGTTTACATTTACATTGGTGAAATATTATGTTATTTATGTTATTAAATATTTT